CACGCACGCTGCTAACACGCGAAGCCAGTACGAAATAAACGCTACCTCACTACAGGTACGTCTGTCCTAACGTCGTACGCACCTGGTATTTAAACTGAAATTTTACAGACCTTATTTGGCTGTCATTTCCCGCATATAAATCGAAGAATGCGTAAAATTGTGTACCAGGACAGCTTCAGAGATGGAGCTACACATCTTATTTCCATTGCTTGCTGCGTAAAGCTGGAAAATGTTACGTATTTCACCGTAGATTCTGTGCACGTCGTTTTAAAAGAATGATTTAGATAGGATATATGGCACACGTATTTCCACAACAGATGATTATTTTGTCTCTGACAAAGCCATGTCGAGACAATTCTCCAGCTAATGTATATGCCATGCTTAGATGAAAGAAAAGTTAAAATAGATTTCACAGTGAAATGACGCATCGAGGAAGATGTTAGGCAGTACTGTTAGGCGAGTTAGCAAAACACTAACTGAAGTCGATACGATAGCACCTGATTTGCCTATCGTGATCGTCCTTGAATTGGAAACTGATCAGGGAGTATTGTAACATGGCAAACATTATGACTAGCCGTGGGGATGTACACGTTACCACGCTCAGACACTACTATATAGTTGTATTACATGTTTTACGAAGCTTTTTTTAAACAACGTTAATCCAAGGTTTTGTCTCCGCTTCCTTATCGTTCTCTTTATCGCTTGCTCTCTCCCTAACAAATTAACAAAATTCCTTATTAAAAGTAATTATTTCAAATATTGTCTGCCCGGCTGTTCTTGTCTATTCTCGACCACTTCAAGACTCACTGCTATTGCTGGCATAACAGAAAGTGTCTAAAGTAAGGCAAACATGTCTCTGAACACTCGACGTCGTACATCGTGACTTTCACAAAAATACACAACGATTGTAATCTGTTTGTATACATCGTGTTGACGCGGTTACATGATGATGTCAAGCCTTGATTGTTTCTGGCAAGAGTTGAAGACCCCATCCCTGTACCTTTACATGCTAACTTGGATTTATGCGATGTTGTACGGTCCGGTCTAGAACCATCACTCAATGAGATACACTTTTTGTCTGAAGGTTGCCGATTTCAAGCGAATTGTCGCGACACAGAAGGTACATGGGTGAGGTCCGGTATGACATACCTAGCCCTATACCTGTTGCGCTGGGGAAGGCACTGGAACCTTAACTCACGCGTCTCAAACAGAAAGTGAAGGCCTCCAGATATTTATATCTCCCAGCAGAGCGCATCAGCTCTCCATTTATCGCTTTTGCACTCGAGTATCAACACAGTAATAGTCTTCCGAGAATAGCTAATGACCGCACGAAGCAAGAGACACTTCCTTAATACATCTGCGTGCCATGCAGTCTATTTCTACAAGAAAACATTCGGAAAATCTTCCTCTATGTCTAAATTAGAAGAGCTTGCGATGACTCCATTATTTTTGTAGTTAGCAGTCGCGTATATCGCAGCATATAGTAATTCAATTGACAGGGCCACACAATGCTTTATTACATTACTTATTTCCTTTATAGCATAAAGCCATCTGGGATGATCAGGTTGGCATCAAGACCTAAGAAGATTTTGGTAGACACGGCTGGCTATTTAAAGGGATAATACACCCTAGAATTTTAGGGTATATTATGATAGTAAGTGAATAAATAGTAGTATTTATCTACATATTTCTATAATTACGCATTCACATTTGTCATATATAAGAACAGTGAGTTTCAATAACTTTATTTTTGGCCACTGACATGACACCCCGCAATTGTGCTGCCACCCTGATAAAGGATTAAACGACAAATTCGTTCATATTATAACCGCAACTAAGAGTTGTTCATAAGATATTGCAATCCCTCTTCTCCTAAACTGAGAAACACCCCCGGTCTGTAGCCTGCAGCCGAAAAGTTGTGATGTGCAACTTTAAAAGTGGATGCGCTACTAGTGGCGCCACTGTCGTTGTAAGCAACGGTAAAGCCGTTGGTTTTAAAACATTAATAAAAAATTCTAATGAATAACGAACAATTAAATTTTTTAAGTAGCGTAATTTAAACCTATTTTAACTGAAAATATGCAGGGAACATACGGTCCTGTGTCACTTTAAGAAAAAATGTGACATACCGCAAAGGTAGCGGTGACAAAGGCTATTTCTTTAATTATGTTATACCCCGTACAGACTACAAAATCATATCCTACATCAAACTAGTCCAGGCCAGGCCCAGGCCAGGTGCACGCTAAACTGACCAAAAATACCTAACCGGGCTAAGCTAACATGGGTAGACTGCGCACGCTCGGTTTAGTGGGTTATGTCACTGAGCAGAGAGCAATGACGTGTAAACAAAAGCACCCCGATAGCATTATTAGGATTTATACTAAATTGTTGTAATAGCAGAAGCAGAAGAAGATAATTAACAAGTGAGCGAATACACAGCAGAAGCTATAACATCCGGATAATCAGTTCTAAGTAGATAATGCAAAGTAGAAAAGCGAGCCACACCGCATCGCCGAGTGCGCAAGAGTCGCTAGTAGCGCTGAGAGGGTCTATGTCCCCCGGGGTACTGCCGGAACGTACCCTGGGTACGGTCCGGTATACCGGAACGTACCCTGGTACTATCTAATATGCAGAACCGTACCTCGTCTACTCCACTAACGAGTCTAGGGAGTCGCCTACGCCTACTCCCTAACCCGAACCCGAACCCTAACCCTAATCCTAATCCTAACCCTAACCCTAACCCTAACCATATCAAATAGTGACCAGGGTACGTTCCGGTATACCGGACCGTACCCAGGGTACGTTCCGGCAGTACCCTTGGGGAAATAGACCCTATGAGCGCTAGTAGCTGCCTTTTGTTTCAAGTTAGGCGGTTTATACATTCAGTTTGTTGGCAACATAATGGTGTCTACGTTTTAGTCTGTATCTTCGGATTGCGGGTGTATACGAGGAAACGATTTCGCACGATGCTAGGCGAATGTACTGTGTACGATTAGAGCTCAAGTTGGTTGAGTTATGCGTAGTAAATCGTAGGTATTCTAAGGCTAGTAAATGACGAATTTCCCTTGCTTATTGAAGTCACACTCCTTCCCTATTATCTACTTCTGGTATAATCGAAGCTATGTATCTGATTATAATCCAATTGAGCCATTTTATCAGCAATGCCTTCTCATACATTCTGGAGAAATTCTTCTGGCAAAATTGTAACCAGACTTTTTACTTCGTCGTCGTTTCAGTTACTGCTTATATTTGCCTCCATATAAACTAACTTTACCCTATATGTGTATACACTAGTGAAGTGAAGATAAAAAACAAAATCACAGATATAATTTCAGAAGCTACTGTACTGTACAGAAACTTATGTGACGCAAACACAGCTTATGTGTATATCGAAATTTAGCCCGTGCCACACACACAATTTAGCGTGGGATAACTCTGTGCGGGATAACTTAGCATGCTTCGAAGCAGGCCTGGCCCATGCACTTCCATTCGGCAGGCTAACTTAGTCCAGAATAGTGTGTACACACTAAAGAAATTTAGTCCGGGCCTGTCTTGGACTAGCTTGATGTAGGATCAAATTTGCAGTCTGTACAAGGTATATTACTCGGGAAGAAAAAACCGACATCACCTTTAGAAGAGGTAATCCATCATTAGGGAAAGCGTCTAGATGCTGACCCTCCTAAAAACTGCACTTGTGCTGCTTAAACCTTGGAAGTGAATTTGTACGCTTCACGTACATGGGTTAAAAAATTTCCCCACAAGTGACTGAAATCCAAATAAATACTTGACCGATTGCCCAACTGCTGTTTTACCTTTGCAAAGAGCCTTTGTCCATGTGAGCGAGATCTGAACTTGCAACAGCTAATCAGGCAAACAAATGAGAAAACCAGCGTGTTACCCAAACTCAAATATTTATATTAGCTATGATACTTCTTCAATCACCAAGGATTGTGACGTCTTTGCAACAGGCAGCGTTGCAATCTTGTCGAGCAACATGTGGATTACAATAGCAAACAAAAAATTTTTTAGAACGCTTTCCTTGCGAGTTTAGCCAGAACAAGCTATTAGTAAAAGCTAGAAAGTTTAAATTTAAATTTATGCAGATGATGTTTCTATTTGCAATGTTTAGCAGTTTAGTAGTAACCATCAAGGAAAAAATAAATTAATAAGAATTCCATATAACTGGTGGTGGGTCAAAACTCAAAAGGGATTTTCATCCCGACAATTTCAGGCGCTCACGGCAGAAATTTGATACAGCCCCATTAATATCACACTACCATCGTGGGTGCCAGTGTCATTGGCCATACAGGCCAAGCTCCTCAATGTTACCCCTAATTCGGCGATAAATACATGGCTATAAAATAAATAACTGGTTTTAAAACCTTTGGATCAAAAGCTGCCCAGCCTTACTTATTGTTGATGCTAATGACCAGCTAACACGTGTGCGAGAGTGATCTTAAAGCGTATGAGTTTGGCTACTAATTAGGTTGACGTAACAGAATGGTCAGCAGATCACTATAGAGAACGAGATCAGTCTACAAATTTATTATAATCTGACAACTTCTGAGGCCAAGTTATGATGGTAGGAGATATTGCAATCAGCCCAATTTCACGGGATAGGATCTTGCACATTATCAGTTTAATTTTATTCCACCATCGATAGGAGCAGGCCTGTGATAAGTTCACGTAGGTACACGAGCATCCCTTTGACTCGCTGTGAATGAACAGCGGTGATAAATGGTATTACGAGCCAGGCATGCCGACATAGGTTCTCACCAATCGATAACCTTTGCAGAGGCAATCAATCCCAATCGCCGGCTACCACCGAGCAGCATTCAACTGTTCAGGTGCAAACTTATTTTCCACTTTATGATTTTTGATTAATTAACAATCGTCACCGATTTTCGTATCCCGTATGTGTACGCGTGCGCGAACGCCACTCGGAAACTGGCGAATTTGCAAAAGTATAAGAGACAAGAAAGCATGCGAGTGTTACTTACGTGAGCTAGACCATTTACATTTACACCATACCCAGAGTTTACAAAACCCTGCAACAGAGAAAGGAAAATGCCCAAATCAGTACAGATGACAGTGAGACAAGAGAGAGAGAGAGGGGGGGTAATGTCAGTATCATGGGAAAAGTACATTTATGACCAAATAGCTAGTAATACTAGCTTTATCTTAACCAGTAATCAATAACACGTGATGTATAATATATGAATACAGGAAATCAATGCCTTGTAAATGTACATGTACAACTATCTCAGTGAAATTTTCATATTAAATTTCCGCAACGGGCTATAATTTAGTCAAACTGACTTGCAAAATAGTGCTTCATAATAAAACGTAATTATATAGCTGATTTCTATATTAATTAATTTACACATTACAGAAGTCAGCATGACAAAAATACGATAAGACACATCACTACTGATGTATTTCTAGGCTAATTCACATTAGACACAGTGGGTAGTATTGACTCGAAAAGGACTGACGTTGTTTTAAGAACTAATTTGGCTAGACCACCAACGCTGACAACATGTACAGGTCCACACGTAGTAACATCACACGCGCACATGATGTGATACACGTTAGGGAGAAAAACCTGGCTCTTCCATATTTCATTTGTGTTTTTAATATCGTGACGTGTATAATGTTCTTTTGTCCAATTTGTGCTCTATGTTAAATAAAACCCTAATCGATAAAGACAAAGCAATATTGGAGCTCTACCAGAACTCTGCCTGTCAGGAAGTAAAGTTTCAAAAATATTATTTCTTTAGAAGTTAACATCAGAAAAAGGATGGAAGCACTAAATCTACTTCAAACTAGATAAACTCGAAGCAATACTAAGTTTTCTATTAATCAATACTGATAATAAACAAACTCAAAACAGACAACTATAAAAATAACTTGCATGCTGACCTAGGCTGAGCTGTCTAGGATAAGGCAATTTTCAACACTATGTTGCTATAGCAACGGTTCAGTTTATTGATTTTTATATCTGCGTGAGAGATGCAAGTTGCACTGCATTTGAGCAGCCTGAGACAATGCTGTACAATACGGCCAAGCTGTCCTGAGCACTGACCACAGCCGCCTCCCCGCCACCTCCTTTGAGCAAACTTACGGTCGAGTAGTGGGGACAACTGGGTGACACAAGCGTGTCGCAGAAGTGGAAACAGACACCAGCGAGCGAACAATCGAAAGACTCCTTAGCAAAGAAACCAGGTAAGCCTGCTTGAGCGCTGCTGTCGGCGTGTGGACAGGTGGAAGGAATGTGCGATAACTGCGCACACGGTGGTTAACACCTACAGGTACAGGGTACAGGTACACGAGTGCTGCTTGACCTGAGTCACGCACATACACGCGGGTTGGGGCAGGATCCCGGATGCATTGGGGGGGGGGGATCACCAGCAAACGCATTCAACTCTAAAACATGCAGAGCGAGGGAGTACGTATACGCATATATACGGGAAGAGCGCGCAATGTGGGACCTAGCGACTTTCTCTCACGTCGAAAAATATAGTGCGATATGTACTTGTTCACCGCGACAAATACGAAAAAATGCATGCATGCTCAGCGCCTCGACGGACAACGTAAAATCTACGACGACACAGCAGGACAAAGATTGCCAAATTTGCGTTAGTTTCTAACCAAACGAGCAGTGTGCGCGTGTGTGTGCCTGTGTGACACGACGTGCATGCGGAATGGCAACGATAATGCGACCACGCTAATCACCTAAAAGTTGTTTAGACTACTATAATGTTAGCGGGTCAGAGTACAGAGTGTTCTAGCAAGGCAATCCGGTAGACAAAGACGTGGTTGACCTATCCGCGCTACAGGAATAGCAGCTAAAGCTATTGTCTACGGCCACCGCTTGTGTTCGTACTCGTGGTTAATTCATACATGCGATGGAGTTTGCCGGACTGTTCCCCCATGGGTTAGAAGTAAATACACGATGTCACGTGTAACCACACCCTAATATCTAAGCGCTGTTGCGTAAAATTCCCAGATACCAGCCGAACTCTACTCCCAGAAAAACCGGCTCTCCCAGAGAAAAGTCATTGTAATTTGTGAATTTCTATGAGTTTAAACTTGCGTTATCCGAGAAACTATGATTAAGGAACTCGACAGCGAGGTGTGTATAATGCCTACTTGGGAGCTAATCACAACTACAATACAGTACACAGTAGTGTGACTCATCCACGAGCGTGAATTTTGCTGGGCTGGGCAAAGGTTACGAAGAATAGGGAGGGACATGACATCGAGGAAAACCTGCCACGGTGCACTGACGAAGTGACGGCCAACCGTGTCCGACATTTAGCACCCTACTGAGATATGACAAGAATTCTCCAGATTAAAATTTAAATTGCTAGTAACCGGGAAGCTCCAAAAATTCCAGCACATTATTATTTACTTTTAACTAGTCATGTTTAATTATCGTGAAAAAATCCTGTTATTTAAATAGTATTATTAATCTATTATTTATAAGATGTAAAACTCGCATCCATTTCAGAATAGAAAACTGTGGTATAGAAAAGGGCTTTAGGAATACACCCATTTTCAAAGTTAGTGAACGTTAGTAAAAATCTCATGTCTGTTTAATGTAAGGCATTCTCATATTTAGTACTATATAAACGTTGGTAACATAATATAGATAAAACAGTTTTACACACTTTTTCCTGGTTTTACATAACAGCAAATAATACTGCCAACGGTTTTAGACTTTAAGATGTTAAATTGACTAACCTTGATCACAACTTTGTTGACAAAAGCGTACAGCTTAAAATTACAATGAAACTGCCCCTCTTATTTAACTTGAAATATTCACCTGATGGGCCATACTTAATATCTTTGTAGGATTTAGTTAATTTTATAGTAATATTTGGATTTGACTCAATCACTTATTCCCGTTAAAATAATCAGTAATGTGTTTGGCATTTATCAAAGTTATGACATGTTTTCCATGTTTTGACAAGTAAATGTTTTCACCATTACTCTGAATGATGGAGTATAAAGTTTCGTATTTTATACGATGTGCTAACTGCTCAAGCAGCAGCAATAGCAAATACATGTGGAAGTACCTCTGCCAGTTGCAATTGTATATATGCGGTTGGGTGATGTTACTACAATGCATGATATCAGGAGTTAATAATGACAAATTTGTCATTATTAACTCCGGATGATATGTACACATCTACCATCTACATGAGATAAAATGCTTGCAAAACTGAACGGTCAGATATCTGTCTCGTCCCGGAATTGCAAGAAAGATAAGGGTTACGACTGGTGAAGCCAAGTTTGAATAGGGATTCTAATCATTCAGGTAATACTTTGAAAATGAGATTTGGATTAAACAGTAACTTTTTTAATGGCATGACGCAGTGGGGACTGGGAGACAGACATACAATTGCCAGATGCCAATGCAAATACTTAAGTGCTCACACCACTAAACTTCTGTTGATTTTAGATCCATTCAGCTTAAATTTTATAATAAACAACAATGTAGAATGACACGTTTAGTGCTGCTAGGGGGCTGACATTAGAGAGATGGCCAAAATAAAATGAAGTTCAACTCTGGCAATAATTCAGGGTCATCCGGATGACAAGGTTACTTAGCATATGCTGGGAATGAACGACAAGGAGCTAAGCTCAACTGCACCTAAAATCAGTTCAATTACCAAACCAGGAGTAAAGTCACCTTTATAATTATAGCAATATATAATTATATCACCATTAGCAAATGAATTTTCATCAGTGGACAGGAAGAACTTAGCAAACTCACACCTCGCAAACCCCCACTGCAAGAATGCACAATGATTTGCATTTTTGGACTGGTCAATGAAATCTCTCATTCGCATGCATTCTACAAGGTATAAACAAGTCCTCAAAACGGACCCAGGATAGAAGATGTCAATACGACAACCACAAGTTTGCAACTAGAAGTTGCAAATTAACAGTGAAACATGTTTTTGACATTTTTATTTAACATTAACATTTATACGTTAACACTGTTGTTCATGTGGCTTTGCCTCGCAGTGTCAGGTGTGGTGGGTGAGACAGCTTAGCTCTGGTGTGTGGTACTTACATAGTCATGAAATGCTTTCGCTTCACTCGAGTGTTCACAAGTATCTCGTCGCTCTGGTGCGGCGCAGTATAAATCCCAGAAAACACTGCAAGGAAAACGCGGCGGGGAAATGTTAGCATTTATATCATTGTTGTACGTACATACACACGCACGCACGTGCGCTCGCACGCGCACACACACACACACACGCACGCACACGCACGCACACACACACGCACGCACACGCACACACAGAAGCATGCACATACACGCACGCACGCATGCACACGCACTCACGCACACACACACACACACACACACACACAAGCATGCACACCCGCACGCACACGCACGCACGCACATACACATACGCACACGTGCATGCACATACACACACTCGCATGTATGAACGCACGCACACGCACACACGAACACGGGCATGCACATACACACACATGCACGCACACACACTCACACAAATGCATCACGCATGCACATGCATGCACACATACACAGACTTGAGCACATGCACATACATACACACACAAACACATACACATGCATGCACACATGCACACACTCACGCAGACGCACGCACACACACACTCACGCACACACGCACACACAGGCGCTTGCAGGCGTACATGCACACAAACACACGCACATTTATTTAAATTGCTCGGTTCGTACTTAATCATAATGAATCGCTAACACCCCGAGGGTGGCTTACTTATGTCAGTCAAAACCCTAACATGCATAGTATATAATGAAGGATGGTGCAAAATGAACAAGTTGCATGTATGTCCATATACACTTAACTAGTAGAAAACACAAGCTGTGTGTATGTATCTGTACACATCGCTAGTAGAATACACACGCCTTGTGTACATCCAAACTTCACTACAAGTTGGCATTAATAAATTTGTTAACATGAGCGTTTCTTGCACGACCGATAAGTGTGTGGATGCTGGGGACAAAGTCAATCAATGTCGTCACTCTAAACTGCATAAAAACCAGCAGTAGTTACCCACTCAATGTTACTCTTTATAGAATGAGTGAATGATGGCCTTCCTACAAACAAAGGTACTAACAAGTTATTAAGGCATCATCATTGTATCATTGAATGCTGGTGTGGGAATACCCAAAAAAAATCACATGAATCCAACTTAATTGCCTTTGGTCAATTGTCATATAAGGTAAATAATACTAAATATATCCTTGTTAGGGTAATATAGTGATGTATATTTTAACCAGAAACTCCAATCTCGTTATACCTTGATAATTTAGTATTAAAAATGATTTCACCCATTTATAGAACAGCTTATTTTCGCAGCTACGCAGACTATAGCAATATATGTAAAAATGTGAAAACAAGTTAAACCTTGATCAATGTTCCTAAGTGTAATCCTTGATTTTAATGCTAAACAGTCAAATAGTTGACTATCATATTTTATAACCACTTTAGAACACTTCCTATCAGGTAAGAGTTCAGAAAAATGCCAAAAATGCTTGCTAGCATCATTTACAGATGCATTAATGATGCATTACAGTCATTTACCAGTTATATCATGTTGATTTATTTGTATCTAGTGTGGTCAATCGGTTGTAATTTCGTAATCGATCATCGGTTGGACCCAAATAACCGATGATCGGTTACAATCGGTTACTCGGGGTGTTGAATGCCTGTGTGTGCGTAACGTCGTGCGCATGTACGTGTGTGCATGTATGTGCTTGTTTAGCCCTGTTTACTGTTTGTTTTGCACTGTTTACTACTGTGTGTATAATACATGTATGTTAATAAAGGATAACTTGTATAGTAGTGATGATATCTCTGATTCTCATCACTTTTCCAAGTTTTTTTTTTCCTGATGAAATCGATTATGGATTTTGATAACCAAGCGCTTGGTTTGAGCCACTGTTCAACCGATGATCGAGTATAATCGATGATCGTGACATCACTAAGCGCTTGGTTTGAGCCACTGTTCAACCGATGATCGAGTATAATCGATGATCGTGACATCACTATTTGTATCCAAAAAAACTTTTAGGCAACAAGACCTACAATACAATAAATTTTTTCTTCGTTTGAGTTTCCTTCAGGTTAGAACCTAGACAACAATATCCATTAAATTTAATATTTTTACCATATATATATGTATTTTTCATATATTTTCAGAAGAAATTTATACCTGGTAACAGGGAACTACACGGATCCTGCACCGAGTCCGATACATACAATACATTGGGACACATGTGTGTAATACTTACCACCACCATGAATGTAAAAAACCAGGTGGCTCTCCTAATGTTATATTTTTCTCCCATCGAATCTAGAAAGGAAAGGGCAAAAAAATCTATTATAACTGTTAACTAGAAAATAGAATGTGTAAAGACCTGGTAGAATATTTACAATGCTGTGAAGAGCACTGAGAAGCCCTAAGAAATGCATTTTGTTGAGTTTCAATATCATTAGTAACTGCTGGAATTTCTTTAGCTCAGGTCTATGCAGCCCTTCGCATCCAATTGTGGTAGAGAACATGGCTACATAGCTAGAGTTAGAACTCCATGTATACTATTTTTTATTATTACTACACGATGTCTATAATGCATGATACCATTCTATGAGGCAGTTGTATTGAATTTATCTACTATTATTCTTTCTGAAATTAAACATGTTTGTCATAATTCTGTTGTATACATGACATGTAGGCAGACACACCAATGTATCTGCACTGCTAACAGACTGCCCTCTTGTGAGTAAAATTACACCGACTTGACACTACTGGCAGCTGACTAATATCAACAAGCAAATTTTATTTTTAGCAAAGAACCAAAGATGCACGGGAATATTCTGTACATGCAAAAATCTCTAATCAATTAATAACTATGTAATTACTAGAAGACAGCGAATTCACAGCACGACATTTTATGATGGTTACATAATCATGTATGAATCTTCTATAGCAAACCATTGTTTTATCTCGGGTAAAAGTACAATGCTCACCTCTGAATTACTATTATGAAACATAATCATGAAAATACGAATTGTTTTGGAATTTAGTAAAAACAACCTACCTCTGAAAGGAATGTCTGTGCAGCTTTTTGTGCCCCTACATGTAATAAATATTCATATACGTACAAGGCTAACCTGTTAAAGAAAGAAAGTCCCTACATTAGTGCCATAGTAAAACATATCAATGTATCCAAATTACGCGACATTTCAAGACGGAATAACTGGTCACAACTGAATGCGCAAATTAACTGGTCCTACGTGTACTGCTGTACGCGCGTACTACTGTACTGGCTGCGCAGAGTAAACAATGAGACTAGCGTCGATACAGCCTAACGGAACAGCCATGATGGATTATCACATTATCTCAAGATTCTCGCGATAATATAAGGAAGTGCGACACAAATCAGCCCAAATTAACTGCAGTTTATTTTTCTAAAAATATTATGATCGTGTCCCGCTCCTAGATGCGGATAGCAAAGATATATCACGATGACCTAAATGCTACATGCAGTAGGGTATACGCACAGTGATCGGAACAGCCATTATGGAGGGGCATTCTACAGCCTGCGGACTAACGCGGCTAAAGAAAATAGCTGTTCGTTACAAATACTAACCACAAGGCCAATAAATTTTTGTGCAGCTACTTACTCTATACATTTAAAAATGCGACTGTCTTCGAGATACGTGATAAATGTACTTACTTTTCTCGTGCTTGGCTGTCTGACGGCACAGTTGATGCTTTGCCTTTGGAGTACATGCTTGCTATAGTGCAACTGTCAGCCAGCTTGTCAAGGACGATACCGCGCGGGTATCCATGACGACATCAACCGGCTTGTCAGTTGCTGCCCTCTGATTGGTCGACTAATTACCGCTACTTGCTTGCGCCAGTATTTCACCAGTTTCATTCACACGTATATCACACATACTACACTATATAAATTTTAAAATTATACTATATAAATTTGAGTCTAGTAAAGCTCATATAATACGCCCGTACCTCTGTAAATTTATATGAGAAATATAGTCAAGCGCACTTATAGCAGAAAATGCGAGAGAAAGACAATGCATGGGGAATATAATTTCTGGCCTCCATCTGCGGTTTATACTTTTTTGAAATTCTTTAATTAAACATGAATTTTATTAATAACAAGCTTAAATTGAGACATTCTCACATTTGTTAATGTATTTACAGAATATTATGTAAAAGAATAGCTTCATAAACGTATTACTCTATATATATACTCTATATTTATAAACGTATGTACATACTCTATTGTTTTAAACAATGCGGGCGCGCGTGTGCGTGTATTATAGGAGGGGGTACAGGGGGTTGTCTTCTTCCCGCCTCTCTTCCCTTCTCCTCCCGCCTCCCTCTCCCTCTCTTCCCACCTCCCTCCCCCTCTCCTCCCACCTTTCTCCCTTGTCCTCCTATCTCCTTCCCTCAACACCTCCATGATCCTTTATATTTTGCTTCTTTTTTTTTTGAATGTCACTTGGTTTCTCTGACAGTTTGCGTAATAAATGTATTAATCCTGTACAATGTATTTTCTCATGTATATATTTCTCGTGCTATAGATTGCTTTTATTTTCATCTACTTAGTATAATCTATCTCTCTCTGTCGCTCTCTCTCTCTCTCTCTCTCTCTCTCTCTCTCTCTCTCTCTCTCTCTCTCTCTTCTCTCTCTCTCTCGTCTCTCTGCTCTCTCTCCTTCTCTCTCGTCTCTCCTCTGATCTGTGTCTCCTCTCTCTCTTCGTCTGTCTGTCTCTTGCTCTCTCTCTCTCTTCCTCTCTTCTCTCTCTCTTTTCTCTCTCTCTCTCTCATCTTCATCCTCTGTCTCGTCGTTCTCTCTCTCTCTCCTCCTCTCCTCTGCTCTCCTCTCTCTCTGCTCTCTCTCCTCTCTCTGCGTCTCTGCGTCTCTCCCTATCTCGCTCTCTCTGCGTCTCTCCCTATCTCGCTCTCTCTGCGTCTCTCCCCATCTCGCTCTCTCTCTCTCTCTCTTCTCTCTCTCTCTCTCTCTACTCTCTTTCTCTCTCTCGCTCTCTCTCTCTCTCTCTCATCTCTCTCTTCTCTCTCTCTCTCTCTGCTCTCTCTCTTTCCTCTCTCTCTCTCTTCTCTTCTCTCTCCTCTCTCTCTCTTTCTCTTCTCTCTCTTTCTCTCTCTCTCTCTTCTTGGTAAAGGTTTGGCCATGAAATTCCCATCCTACACTTCGATGTATGTACTATTTCCACTGATCTCTATAATAACTCTGATTTTATTAACTCTGATAACTCTTTAACTCTGATATTACTGATATAATAACTCTGATATTACTGATATAATAACTCTGATTTTATTATAGAGATCAGTGACTATTTCAATAATGTAGCAGCGATTTTGATCAAATATGACATATTCGCGTCATCTATCGGGAGAAATCATTAATGTATGCGTTAGTCTGTGACTGCGCGTGTATGCACACCAGTTTGCGTGATAAATCTATTTATCCTGTACAATATATTTTCTCGTGTATGTTGGGCTCGATTAGCGTGGAATGGGGCAATCAATAAAATGTATTACGAATCCTGCTCATGATAATGATTTAGCATATAATATAAGAACTGATATGGATAAAGTGGGGCTAAGAAGCCTATATGGGTTGATATCTTACTACCAAGATCGAAACCAATATTGACCGGGGTATGCTATCGACCACAAACAAGGCAACTTCTTCGACTATTGGAAAATATATAGTATAGACATGCTGACAGGTTCAATGAGCAGGAAATTATTATATTAGGGGATTTCAATGTTAAGCGTTCTAGAAAAATCAACGGGAAAATGTGATAGAATGCTTAAGGCTCTTAAAGATTACTGGCATACCAATATGATCAAACAACTAATCACTACTCCGACCAGAGTAACTAATATAAGTGAGTCCGCCATCGATTTAATAATGGTTTCTGATGCACTCAAAATTGTCAATCGGGCATCATAGCCAAGGAGTGAGTGATCATTTTTTAACTTACTGTACTAGGAAAACTTCTAGACAGGTTATAGGTAAGCATAAAACTAGAGAATTAGATCATTAAAAACATATAGTCAGAGGTATTAGAGATAAGTTAAAGAGAAGCAATTGTGTAAAATTTTTAATGCGGATCTATAGAGCTTGCATGGGGAATTTTTCAAAAATACCTTCTAAGAGGCCATTGACACTGTCGCCGCCTCTATTAAACAAGTTAGAATAAAACAAAGAACTGAGCCATGGTTTGAATAGCGAGATTAGGGAGCTTATCTGAGAAGAGATAGAAATTACTGCTTATATACGAGGAGTAAAGATGAAATTACATATAAGGATTTTAAATTGCTTAGAAACAAAGTTCAAATAAATAAAAAAGCAAAGGCTAATTACTATTTCGGAAAAGGTGAGGACCACAAAATGACGCCTAAAAAGTTATGGCAGACTTTAAAGAGTATGGGGATGAAAATAAGGGAACGCAGCAACTTGGCGGGTTGGGGCCCTAAAATTGGAGAAAATATATTGTTTGACAAAGCAATTGTTGCAAATAATTTTAATAAGTATTTCACAAGTGTGGCCTCAAACTTGGTGAACGATCTACCACAAAAGAAGGACGTATGATGAGATTAGTCTTCAAAATTATTATAGGGACAAAGGCGTAGTAGAAAATTCATTTACTTTTACAACGGTGGAGAGACGAGGTACTAGGGGCTGAAAAACATTATTACGGGTAAGGCTATTGTGTTAGATAATTTCCCGCAAAATTATTATAAAAGATGATCAAATGTTATTTTGCTCAGCTCTTACACATTATCAACATGTCATTCATCCAAGGAAAAATCCCTGATGACATGAAGGCAGCAAGGGTCATTCCGATACATAAAAAGAATAGCAAAACAGAACCCGGAAACTATAACCCTGTGTCAATTTTAAGTGTCATGTCCAAAGTTTTGGAGCGAATAGCCTATAACCAAATAGAGAAATATTTAATAGAAAATTCCTTACTGTACGAGTTCCAATCTGGCTTTAGATCAAAATTTTCAACTGACACAAGTTTAATCCATCTAACTGATATTATTCGTAATGAGTCGGACAAAGAAATCTAACTGTATGGTTTATTAGCATCTCTCAAAAGCTTTTGATACCGTTGACCATAAAATTCTACTAGCCAAGCTAAAAACTATCGGAATGGATATTAGAACTGTTTAAATGGTTCGGTGCTTATCTCTCTGGTAGAATCCAAATAACTGATGTAGGAGGTACCTTCTCTAATAAGGACCCTATTGTATGTGGAGTACCACAAGGCTCGATTTTGTCCTCTGTTACTTTATATAATGACATGGCCAAAGGCAGTTAACGTCAAGCTTTTATTATATGCTGACGATTCGGCCTTAGTAGTTACAGGGACAGAGGTACAGGCTATACAGGAAGAATTAAATAGAGAATTGCATCTCATTAATAAATGGCTCAACGATAATAATTTATCCTTGCATCTTGGAAAAACTGAAAGTATTATTTTGCGAACTAAACACAAACTCAGGATAATCCAAAACTGGACATCAGATGTAATGGGGTGGCAATTGCACATAAAAATACAGTTAAGTATCTAGAATAGACTTGGAAGACACCATGAGTGGTGAGATAACGGGAATTAAGGTTGTAAAAAAGATTAACAATAGATTGAAATTTCTTTCCAGAAAGCTAAGTAACACGGCATGTAAAAGATTACTAGTTTTCTGCCCTAATTCAATGTCACTTCGACTATGCAAGCAGCATATGGTACAGCAGTCTCACAGCGCACAAGGGCTAGCTGCAAGTGTGTCAAAATAAAGCTATTAGATGTGTTCTCAACCTGAGGTTCTAGAGCACACATGAGGTGTAGAGAGTTCAAGGCTGTAAATTGGGTACCTGTAGAGTTTAGCGGTAATGCAACTGAAGGTCAATAGGGTTTTAAAATATTACATATCTCGGCCCACAGTATATGACAGAAGGTTTCATGTTAACGTCAGAAGTCCATAGTTTCAATACAAGGGAAGGTGAGATGTCTATTTTTAAACCGAGGGTGGGAAGCAGTGGAAAAACTCTTTTACTTATACTGCAATGAAGCTTGGAACTCTCTACCACAGCAGTTAGGACAAATTCTGTTTATTCTAGTTTTAAGTATAGTGTAAGAAATGTCTGATGGAAAAGGTAGAATCATTAGAGGCAGAGGAGTATGTTTTTCACTAAAAGAATTCGGTTGAAATTAGGCATAAGAAAAATTTGTATCGTCTTGTGAAAATGTACCATTGTATGACGATTAATGAAACATAAAACTATAGATATATTTCAAATAGTTTGTTCTGATAGTAGTACAATTGTTAGATTCAATTAAGGCATAGCAAAACAAGGACCACAATGTAAATAAGTGTGCTAGTCATGCTTTTTGTGTATATATCCTTGGTAATTATCCAATTTTATGAATTCAAATTTTTTATTGTAAAAGTATGCAATGTATTGTATATGATGGATAATTGCCTAAATAAATTTTTTTTTAAATAATAAAAAAAATAAAAAATAAAAAGCGGAAAGGTAGTAGAACGACTGAAGGGTTAGTGAAGGTTAGGCCTTCTCTAGATCTAAGGATCTGATTGAAGGCAGAGCCGTATATAGAGATCTCTATTATAGAGATTCTCTATATATACGGCTCTGAGCCTCTGATTGAAGGCAGAGTTATAAATCAACCCCAAAAGGTGAAATAAAGCGACATCTTTTGGTGGTAAATCTGCCCGTACAGAATAAAATTTACCTGCGCTCGAGGGCGCCACTGAGCTGTTGTGAAAGTTACGTAAGTAAACATGTGAACCGCAACATTTCTCTTCTGATAGTGGTAGATACTAGTAAACACAACGCGTAATGTTGAACGCTGGAATATATTTTACTACTACTAGTGTATCACGAGTAGATTAACTTAGATATAATTGTAAAGTTCATGGTATCTTGTTGGATTGCTTTCAGTTGACCTGGGTTGAGTAAACAAGTTAGAAGTATAACAACAGTGCACAACATGGGGCTTAACGTCTTCTCTTTATAATCGCTAAATCCGCATCTACTAATACTAATAGTAATAAGTGCATAGGCCTACTGACGCTGATGGGTTCTATGTCTCCGTTCCCCTCCTACATGGTACGGTTGGGAATAGGCGGGGTACGGTCCAGCATAGCTCTAGTACTATAGCCCGCGGATGGACCCTGCGGCAGCGATCCGCGGGCTATAGTACTAGAGCTAGGTCCAGCATAGCTCTAGTACTATAGCCCTCCACTCCGCCGCAGGAGGAGCGGCGGCGGAGCTGAGGGCTATAGCTAGGTCCGGCACTTGGCAGTACCCAGGGCCAAGGATATATAGACCCTATCAGCGCTACTGACTGCATCACGTACAGGCGCGCATAAACCATTTCTAATTTCAGATGGTAAAATCAGAATAATACTAATTCAGCATATAATTATAGGCTTACATTAGCTATAGTACTAGAGCTAGGCCTACATGTGATCATGTATAAAATAGTTAAAAGTTAAAGTTACATATTTGTGTATGGTTTCCAAATGCTGCAATACATGCGGGCCAACAATATTCATGCAGTTTTATACTGTGTAGTACTAGTAGATAACATGGCTTTCTTTGCTGTTACCAATACCATATATATATATATATATATATATATATATATAGTCCTTCACTCTGCAATAATGTGTGAAGCCATGGCTGCGTGAGTAGCGCTAATGATCTATGCTGCTGCCTTACATGATTGTATCTATGGTACACTTCAGTGAGACTGTACTGGAGCATTTGAACAGCATTTAAGTTTATAACGGTGTTTACAAACTCACTCTTGACTTGGTATTATTATGATTTTATTCTCTCTACTAGCCACAGGTGGCTGTGGAACATGTAAGGCACTCATATAGCCTAGGTATTGTAGCATGAACTGATACTTGATTGCAGGGCTCGAATTAACCGACGGCACCGACGGCAATTGCCGTCGGTGCCCCTATCAATCGCCGTACTGCCCCTGAAAATCCAACCCGACCGACGGCAGTCACCTGCCTTGCCCTTTTGTGTAATTGCCGTCGGTGCCCTTTAATCTACTGCCCTAGTTTCGTTTTTAGTCGAGTCAACATAGCACGTGCGCGTGCGTGCTGTAGTTGCAATAATGAGCTTAAAACCGATAGTCGCAGGAGGGAATAATAACAGCATCGGATAATTATTCGCTCCTGATAGCGGGCATGTAAAATTTCTTGTTACTGTACTTCCATTAGCAGAGGGGGTACGGTGGTCGGTGTTACAGTGTAAGCTTACATGGGGTCATATTGTTTTGTACATTAAAAGCAAGACGATGTTGATGTACTAATTTGTTATGATCGAGTTTTCCTTTATTTTACAAAAGTGCCTTTGTGCCCTTCTCAAATTTTGAGAGTTGCCATGGTGCCTTTTAAAATTGCCTCTGTGCCCTTCCATTTTAGAGAAAATTCAAGGCGATTTCTCACATGCCCTAAAAAAATTGCTTTGCCCTTCTCGTCGCTTAATTCGAGCCCTGCTTGATTGTGGCAAGAAATTTTTGTATATGGAGTTTGGTATTTGGTATAAGAACATTTTGGGCTGCTGTAATTACATGTTTAAGCCTAATTACTGCTATTTCTATAGGAAAATGTCTTCAAGGGCCCTGAAGAAACTGCATGGTTCTGATGAGCTGTCGATAGCGGGGCTTGTAGATGTTGAAAGTGACTGTGAGGACGAGTTGGATCCATTACAGATTCCAGCGGAATGTTCACAAGATGGCGCTACTGATTCAAGACATGTGCTGAATCGATTTGAGCTGGTTGGTTACAGCTTGTTGTAATAATTAGACAGTTAAGAGAGCCAATTAATTTATTCAAGGTCAAATGAAGTAATATAGCATGTGGTAGGAAAACATTTCTAGTTTATAGTCATTCATGGTTTTTATTTATTTTTTGTTAGTTTTGCAATGGGTAACAGTCAATATTTCATTGTAGTTGAATGATATAGATGATGATGATGCTGACTCCTCTAAAAGTGAACCGGATGTCGATCTTGCTGAGAAACAAAGTCAAGCAAAGGTCACTGCTGTAAAAGATGCAGCTCAAACCAAACCGAAATCTAAGAAAAAGAAGAAGAAAAAGAAGAATCACAAAGAGAGCTCAAGTCTTGAATCAAAACTAGAAAATGTAAGTAGCATTTTTCGTAAAAGAATAAATTAATTAAACTGTGGGACAGATAGAGACGTAAGTTAGATAGATCTCAGTGTTCATGCATATATTTTAAACTTGACAGATGAAAATGATTGATTGTTTTAGGAAGACGAGGTTGATGCTAGCATTCGGCAAGTTCAGGAAATTCTTGGGGCAAGTGACATGTCGTTAGAGATGCCATTGACTTTCATCGGTGATCTCCATGTGACCAAAGAAATGCGATCACTTCTGACTGTTGAACACAGGTATTTGCTTTTACCTGTAAGGAGAGGTGTACGTGTGTCACTGTTTGGTGTGTGTTCATGATTGTAAGTGCTGGATTGTAAACACGTGTGTATTACAAAGTGCTATTATTAGAAAGTGATTGTAAACACTTGTGTGTCTCTGATTAAGCACAGGTCTCAGCAAATGTGCCATGGCAATTTCATTGTAGATATTCAAAAATTATGTCATTCCTTCATAGTAAGTAGGCTTCAGATTAATCAAAATTATCTGAATTATTGTCTTTTTATTCTGTTTTCGTAGATATTTAAATCCTGATAGTGAAATGAAAAGAAAATTTGGGGCTAAAGTTGTTCAAACTGATAAAAGGTAAGTTTGATGTATATATATATTTGTGTGTGTGCATGCGTTAGTCCATGCGTGCGTGCGTGCGTGCGTGTGTGCATGTGCGTATGCGTGTGTGTGTATGAATGTATGTGTGCATGCATGACTGGGTGAGTGTATGGGGTTGTATTAATTAAGGATCTTTACTTATTTGTTATATGAAGAATTAGAGCCACACTTTTGCTTCAAGATTTTTTCTTTACACACATGCTTTTGCTAGTATTTTCAAACCTATACCTATGTATTTTCTTTGTAGTTATCTCTATTATGTGTACACATATATATGCTATTCTGTGTTTCGTTAATATACTGACGTTTGTGTATGTGTTGCCATGTTAAGCTACTAAGTATGTGCATTGTGTTTTATAGCAAAAGGAGAAACAGGAGGTTTCAGCGCACATCTTGGCTAGCAAGGCCAAAAGACTCATGGCCACAATTTTCAAAATCAGGTCAGAATATCAGCAGATAATCTTTAGTCAGTGTTATGCTTTTGTACAGCCATAACTCATTGGGTCAGTAGGTTCCGGGCGAAATGAATGTTGTCATTAAATCAGTATAATTTCCAACCACTTTTAGTGTTGAGTTGCTTATAATTTGCTTGTCATGGCCGTGTGGTGTTATGTTGCAGGTCTGTCTATGCAGTTGCTGGATACAAAACAAGGGGCACAGTACTTTACATTCATACATAGCAAGGATTACCAAACTGCACAATTTCAGTTCTACGATGCTGTTGAATCTCACCAGCCAGACAATATAGTGGTAAGTACCACATTCTGGTGAATGCGGTGTAACGAAATTTCATTTCACCATAACCCAACCATTTTCTCTGTAGTGCATGAATTAAGTTGTCAACGCTCTTGGTGTTTGGGGCTGTCTTTGTGCCCACCCACCCATTTAGTGAGCCACACTTATTTTCAGATGGATATTTTTTAGTTATTCTGTATGCCTCAGGGCTCCAACACATTCAGAGTGTAAATTGCTGATTAATGATGTGATTAATTGCTGATTAATGATGTGATTAATTGCTGATTAATGATGTGATTAATTGCTGATTAATGATGTGATTAATTGCTGATTAATGATGTGATTACTTGCCATGCAGTTGTGAAAATAAGGTTTAGGTTTAGTCATTTTCTCAATTAAAAATTACATCTGCATGCTGGCAATCTGAGGCAGTTGAAATAATCAGCAGAGAATAGTGGCAGAGAATGGTGGTTGAGTTAAAGTTTATTATTCATGATTGCTTATACTCATTGAGTTTTACTTTCAGCAAGTGTTGAATCTGCAGCCATACCACCTAGATGCATTGCTGCAGCTCAGCGAGGTTTTTAAGATTAATGAAGATATACAGATGGCAGCTGAGTTACTTGGTATACGATAAAATTAAACACTAACATAAAGCTGTCTTGTTTCTACAAAGCATAATCTATCGATCACTACTTCTTTGGTTTTCCCAGAGATGAAGCGTAGATTAGTTTTTTGCACGAGAATAACTTTCTTGAAAATCAAAAATCGGTCATGTTGTACATGTTGTAAATCAAGCATTTCAAGCTACCTCAATGCATGTGTTGTTTCTAAAAACATTTTGGTTACAGCAGTTATTCTGTCTATATACTATATGATATTCCTTTTCCAGTGAAGTTTATTGCAAATATACTTACCACAGTACATATAATTTCTGTTTTATGTGCTGTAATTGTAACTTATTTGTTTCAGAGAGAGCTCTATTCTGCTGTGAGAATGCTTTTCATCCAGTGTTTAATATCACCCAAGGGAACTGTAGATTGGATTATAGGCGGCCAGAGAATAGGTCAGAGTTTAATAATAATGGTTTTATTATATCATAGAGAATGCAGTTCTAGGCCTTCTTGATACCATTGATTAGAAATGTTTGTGTTCTTTGTAACCATAAACTAATAGCAGCTAATTATGACAAACACAGACTAGCAGTAATGTAGTCTTCACAGTGCCCATAAATATATTTTCACTCGTATCAGAAATTAATTAAATTTTGGCGATATTTATAGGGGAGCTTTATATCTCTTTGATGTTAATGAAGATAAATTGCATTGTTTCAGGTCATTCTATATTGCAATCTTCAAACACATTCTGTTTGTTGGGCAAAGAGGCTGCTACAGAACGGCACTCGAATTTTGCAAGCTACTGCTGAGGTGTGTACGTGCCACATAAAATTCCAGAGTGAGAAAACGAGGGTGTGTCGTTGTCATTGTGAAGTAATGTACCCAGTTTGAGATGGGGAGGTTGAATGCTTGGCAAGTTTAACTCGGTGAACAATGACAAAAGGTGAGACAATAAACCACATCGCTGCTAACTTCTTGCTGGCTTGTTGCAAACTTGTTGCTATTTCTATGCTAACTTTGCTAAGCCATCTATGGATTATAATTATGTTATTCCAGCCTGGATCCCGATGGTGACCCACTCTGTGTGTTACTCATGATCGACTACTATGCAGTCAAGTCGGAGCAGTATGAGTACTTGATACGCATGTACATGGAGTGGGAGGTAAGATGAGTCACTCTCAGAAATGTTTGGTCCCAAAGTTCCAACTCTGCTGTGAAGTTAATCATACTTGTTGCATTGTATTAAGATCTTACGTCTATACCTTTTTTTGTTTTGATGTTTTGATGTTAGTGTTTGCGGAAGTTCTTCCATCCAAAGATCCCGTGGACTAAATGTGAATTTTTGTAGTAGAGGAATGTGAAAAAAAATTTTGATAAGGCCTTTGATATCAGATTGAATTCCTTGCTTGGAATATTTTCATGCTAAGTTATCTAGTAAAGGCTTACGACAATACAAGTCAAACTAAATTATATAATGAATTTGTATCTCATCATTATGCAGGCACACAGAAATCTTTCTCAGCTACCAAATTTTGCCTTTTCTGTACCGCTTGCCACTTTCTATCAAAGGTTGCTGGAAGGTAAAACTACCCATGATGCCGATGAAATGGTAGGTGTTATATGCCTTACATGAATACAGATTTTGTCTGTGTTAACGTTCAACTGACTTAATCTGCATACCTATATATATTATGCTTGTACCATATTCCTTTGCAACATGTATTATTGAAATATCAAGTGCTGTGTATATATAATGCTAAGACGTAGCGTCATTTCATGCAAATGTATACGCAAGTATATACAAGTATATACTTTCATGAAAGTATGATAGAAACATTTCAAATACCTATTTTAGGTTAATAAGTGTGCTGAATGTTATTTAATTTTTATGTTCCAGCTTCAAGAAGCTCTCTTACAGTTTCCAGCTCTCTTGATGCCTCTTCTGAACAAATGCAATGTTGTCCCTGACACAGATGTAACGAGGCATGAGCTGTTTGGGCTAAAATCTGAAGCTAGGTATGGTTACACCATAACATCTGGCCACACTAGCTAGGCGTAGTAGGATAGAACAATCTTCTAAATACTACAATATGTCAGATGTCTACAGTAGCAGTGAAGTACTAGTGTCTGTAGTGAATTTTTAAGTCAGTGTTGGTCGAGAGTGAGTGACAGAGTGTTCTCGACAACCAGTATTGTGATAGGCGTGTTTTAGATATGCTACTTCGTAACATAATGCTCTATAGTTAACAATTTGGTGTGCAAACATGAAAACTGGTATCAACTGGTGTAGCCTGCCTGACCGACCTAGCAAGAATATCCAAAGGTAGTGTGGTAATTTAGCTCAGACAGCCATATGCTAAATACTTCCTTGCCACATCAGTCTGTTTGTTTCAGTGATCCAGAGGCACTGCGGCAGTTGTTGTCACTGTACGTCGGACGCAGCCACGGCCTATGGAAGGATGCTGCTGTTGTGACGTGGCTGGAGAACAACGTGCGATCGGTGATGGCTAGAGCCAGCAGTAACGACTCGCTCGTCCGTGACTACCGACAGAAGTTAGTCTTGGCATGGCATTGTAAACTCTATCTCGGATGTGTCCGCTGAGTAGTAGTAGTAGTAGTAGTAGTAGTAGTAGTAGTAGTAGTAGTAGTAGTAGTAGTAGATAGCAGCAGCAGCAGCAGCAGCAGCAGCAGCAGCAGCAGCAGCAGCAGCAGCAGTAGCAGCAGCAGTAGCAGTAGTAGTAGTAGTTTGTACGTTAATCCTATGGCAAGTAAAGTATGTGGGTTTAAAGCCTATCCTTACTCTCTGATGATTACTTTATGCACAGGAAACAGAGCAGATACAGAGGAACTCCTAGAAACATCTTGCGACATATGCTCATGTCAGAGATACCTGATGCAACTGCTTCTCTGCCCAGGGTGAGTTCTCTATAAAGAGGATACTTGTATTTTTAGCTCATCTGACGTAGTCAGATGCAGCTTGTAGAATCGCATGATTGTGCGTCCGTCCGTGCGTGCGTGTGTCCATCAACAGTTGGGCACAAATCTTGAATATGAAAATGACCCAAGGTTGACACATTTTGGGGTCAAGGGTCAAAGGGCAAGACATGTAAACGGAGGGGGAATATTTTCCCCTTAACTTAAGGTATAGGAGGAAATACGGAATTGCGGCACAAATCTTAACGGCTCGACCTATTGCTCTTAATATTCGGTGTATAGTGTGATGGGCAGGAAACCCATCACCAGTGCGAAATTGGAGGTCACAGGTCAAAGGGCAGTGGGGGAAAGTTCAGATATCAGACATTTTCTGAGGACATGGCCTAATGGACAGAGTGAAAAACTTTTTTGTTTCAGCGCTGACCTACCATTTTTATCACTTTATTGAAAGGACCATGAAATGTGCTTTCCACTGACGTGCGAAGAGTAAGTGTCTGACCCTCAACCTTTTGACCCTCAAGAGGAGGGTTAAACGTGGATTCCTGAACTGCCTCAATGATGTCACAGTGTTCTCATATTCATGGCACATCCATAATCTAGAAAGCCAATAAGCCTGGATAGCCGAACGCCTACACCGCAGGCGTCACGGCTCAAAGGTCGTTGGATCGAATCCCATCAGATTTTTTATTATTTACCTGTTTTCTGTATTTTTCTATCTTTATCCATTTAACTATTTTTTTTCCAATTAACGCAAATATTTACATGATTTATTTACAACAATTTAATAACAACAAATAACTTTTACAACAATTAATTTTTTTTAATGTTTTAATAGGGTTAGGGTTAGGGTCACAATGCACCATAAAACAGGAGTTTCAGGCACGCGATTTGTATCAACCAATGGGATTTGGGAGGTATGCAGAATGCAGAAGGTTGCTGAAATGATGTGTACGCAACTGCGTATCTGCATATCTGCACCTAACAAAGGTGTCACTACGCACGACTTAAATGTTACGTTTATAACCGTTGAAACAGACCTCAGATGAGCCCAGACGCTCTGCGGCTCTTGTAATGACCAGTTATTGATTCTGAGCTGAAACTAGTTATGTGAAGTATGCTTATAACCCAATGTAGCATTTTTCAAATAATCATGAAACTATAGTGTATATTGTTTAAATAAAGGGAATTGCAACCTGCTACCTCAGATTCCGACTATTAAACTAGTTTCTGATTCGTACTGGTACTGAAACTGAAATGTAAACAAAGGCTGCACGTTTAGCTTAAACCCTCGGCCAATATAGTCGATGTAATCATGTCTTATATATCTATGTGATTGTTTTGTCTTTCAGGATATGGCAAACACGCCATTCATGTCATATGATCCCCTTCCGCCAACTGATAGTATTGTGTCGTACAAACGACCAGCCAGAGATCCAAAACCAGAGGAGGGCTATGGATCACTTGGCATGTTTTTTCGCTCTATGCTGCCAAATTTCAATGCAGAAGATGTAAGTTGTTATGTAAGCTAATTATAGGCATTAAATCTGCACTTGTGTGCTAAATGTGTATGGGTAGTTTGAATTTATAGACGAGGTGTTATATAGATGGAATAAAATGGGCATTTTCGGGTGTTTGCAAGCTTATATTACTTCAGCACATATAAAAGTTGGTGACCTTTGTAAAATGTGTGGTAAGGTTGTGTCATATGAATTCATTAGGGTCTTTTATACAACAGTGAGCACCATTTTGTTATTATTACTAGTAGATAACACCGTTCCCTTTTTGTTGAGGGAAAGTAGTCACAGCCACCTATAGTATAATGTTGTGCACGTGATGTAGTGGTGCGTGCTTTAGAACTTGACTTTGATATGTGTGATTCATCTGTCTCCCTAGCTGGTACCTGCACATGGAGAGGTGGCTGAGGCAGCTGGTGCAGCTGGGGGACTGCAGGGGCAACAGGAACTGAGACAGGGTTTCGGAAACCTTATGCATGCCCTGCGAGATCTGCTGAACCAGATACAACCGGTGCCGCCACCTGCAACTGAACAAGCGAACGGCACTGAGGATGGCGATAGCAATGATGAATGGAACGATTAGATATACTGAATCTTCGTTAAAAATTAATTAGATTTTATTTCTTATTTGCTGGTAATGTGAGATGCATTGTGCATAACAAGGTATATGTCATTACCCATGTTAAATGAAACAAACCAAAATTACTTGCTAATTTTACATTGAAATTGTGTAGGAATTTATGCAGGGTGGCACATTTAGTGATATTTCCATAGGAAAAGTAATACTGTTTTTACTCTGCAAATCAGCCCACATAATTTTAATTCAAGTACGAAGATTGTGGCATTTTGGAGGCTTAGAAATATTGCAAGTTTACAAATGAATTAGATTATCAACTAAATTTGCCCCTATATTATGTAATCAGGAGTAAGATAATATAGATTCTATATATCTATATTCTATCTATATTCTATCTATATATCTATCTATATATCTATCTATATATCTATATATCTATCTATATTCTATCTATATATCTATATCTAGATAATATAGATTCTATATATAGATAATATAGATCTATATTATCTTACTCCTGATGTAATGTGTATGGAATTATATGATAGTACTGATGAAATTATACAGGAACACATCTCCATATCGTGATACGTGGTGATTTGGTTTGTTCCCCATCTTCTATACGGTAAAGCCCACTATACATACTAGAAGGCACTATTACTGATATAAACAGGGTCTATATGGGTTCGTTATTTTGATTGACGAAAAATTTAATTATACGCTTGTAAAGTAAAAGTGTGTGAAAGGGTTATTGTATAGGACTAAAGTGCTATATTGTGTTATAATGAATTGATGATTCTTCGCTTATGTTTAGGTTCTTTATAACATAAACTAAGGCAAGCCAAATTAATGTTGATGTATCAGCAGCAGATGAATGGCAAAGAGATTGCCTACCTAATCAATGTGATCATGATGTCTGTTTGGTTCAAGCCACAATGTCAAATAAGATGCATATGAAAACGTTTTTCTTTCGTTGGAGTTCTATGTACAAATACAAAATATGACAACCAAAGCACTTGGAACCGGTCATGTCAGGTGAATCTTTAGCTTATTGTTAGGCAGAGTGATCATTCATGTAACCATCTGCCAGAGCTTGTTGTGAATAATAACAAGCAAGAAATTGTAACTCGAAATACTGTGCACAGTCATTTCATTTATTACATAATCTGCAATGTTCACAAACTTAAATAGATAACTTCACTCTCTTTCCAGCCAGGCGTATCTACTTTTCTATGTGTTGCGTTATCTGGTTGACGTTCATGGTAAAGGAAAGGGCTTTTAAAAACACCAACAAACTTCTATCATTTACGAATGATACTCTGCCATTACCTTCGAGTCTTGGAGTTGGATCGAAATCGTTTCTATTTGTCTACACATTCGTCCTCGGGTCTATCTATAACATTTTGTAATAGAAAACGTCGTTCTGACACAGTAAGAGCGCCCACCTTAATGTCTCTTGGTGAGAAAACATTTGTGACGTGCAAGTTTAGCCTTCGCCTCAGTTAAGAAAACGTTAACCATGGTAACTGGAATCTCAGGCTTCGTACAGCGATGAAATCAGGGGGGGGGAGTGGTTGTCTTAAAGACACGATCCGATTCTGAACACGTAATAATTGGCTCGTAATACGGACACTCCGTATAACACATTGCCGTTAGCCATGTTGTCATGTTGACGGGGTAGCAGGTTGCTGGTCTGGCTTGCTTGGCTTATCTCGCTTATCGCTGCTCTTCTCTTTAGGGTTGTTCCAATCTTTTAGACCTTCTGGAAGCTGTGTGTCCTCTTCAAACGATCCAGTACCTTTCACGCAACAACCCAATATACACTTTAATATACTGTGCATACAGAGTAACTGTGTTTCAACGACAATATATATCGCAGCGTAAAAATGCAATTTTATTCTATCAATTTCGTTTTAAACTGATATTGCAACAACTGGAAGATGAGAAACAGAGCTTCCGTTTCCCAAGTAATGGATGAACTCAAGTAAGATTTGTGCAGGAGTCTGCTCTGCCATGGCGTATACTGACAATCTCGGCTCAATATTCATACAAACAATTTTATTATTTTCTCAAGAAAAATGTATGGGTAATAAGGAAAATTTGGTAAAATAACACAGCTTGGGTATGAAAAAAATCCTTCAGCAGGGTTAAAGGGTTGTCCAATAGCCATGCTTTTATACCTTCAACAAATTCCTCATAAGTAGACTTTTCCTTCCATGGTCTTGGCCCAAGCAAGTCTATCATATCGTCCCTATTTAGAACCTCCTTCTCAAGTAGCCTCAGCGCTACCTGAAATCAGTAAGTATACTCGATTTACAATCGATATCACTTGCATATTCAGTATATTTTGATACATATTCAAATAATGAGAATTATAAGTTGAAATGATGCATAACACATGTCAGTTTTCCATTCTGTAATCATATAATAGGGATTACTTGCAATCACAATTACCTAGGATATTTATCTAATACAGAAACAACTGTTTACTATTTACATAAAGTGTTCACCTTGACCTCGAGGTAATGCAATTACATTCCAAAATTGTATATACAAATAAAATTGCCTACCTTCTCTACATGCTCTTTCTTTGCTGTCAGTAATGTCATAGTGTGGTCATATGCTTTCATCACAAGTTCCCTTACCTCCTCGTCAATAACCTGCAATGACCAACATAGATAGAACAATAAACGTACACACCACCACCTGGGGGGCAGGGCATGTGTAGACATGATGGGTGGGCTAGTCAGACATGATGTAATAAGGACTCTACATTAACTTATTTAAGAACTCATGGCACTTTGCAGATTTAAACCTGAAACCAGAACATTGCAAAAAAATAGCTGCAGTTAACACAAGTTGGATACATTCAATCCATATTTAATCCAGACGACTACTGATAGAGTTAAGTAGTTTGGTTTAAAAAATTATTATTATCATTATTATATAGTTTAGTATGTTTGATTGAATTTTTACTAAAAGTAATCCACCAAATATTGTCTCAAATATACAACCCATGTCCAAAATTGTTGTACACGATAAGTTGATTTACTAAGTGAATACTTTTGATGAGTCTGAACAATTAATTGAATTGACTTATCTGCCAAATGTGACTAACAGACAGCTCTCACCAATCATTGTAGTCATAAGACATTCTAAAAGACAATGCTTGGCAACAAAGTGCTGCAGTCGACAATTTAGTTGGTACGGGCGAGAGACATATAAACTACCACTAACTACCACTAGCAGCAGCAGCACCACCACCACTACCACGACCAGCAGCAGCAGCAGCACCACCACCAACACTACCACTACCACTACCACTACCAGCAGCAGCAGCAGCAGCAGCACCACCACCAACACTACCACTACCACGACCAGCAGCAGCAGCAGCAGCAGCAGCAGCAGCACCACCAACACTACCACTACCACGACCAGCAGCAGCAGCAGCAGCACCAACCAACACTACGTCGACTACATGACGCAGTTCAGCAGACGAGCACCACCAACACTATCACTACCAACTACAGCAGCAGCAGCAGCACCACTCAACACTAACCACTACCGACGACCTAAGCAGCAGCAGCACAGCAACCGACTGCAACCAACTACCACTACCACTACCGACTACCAGTACAGCAGCAGCAGCACCAACCACCAACACACAACTACACGACCCAGCAGCAGCAGGCAGCAAGCCCACCACAAACATACCGATGACCCAAGGCAGTCAGCAGCGAGCAGCATCACCAACACTACACAGCTACCACAACCAGCAAGCAGCAGCAGCACCACCCAACGACTAGCGCAATGATGCCAGACGAGCAGCAGCAGACCGACCAAACACCTACCACGTACCCACGACCCAAACCAGCAGGCACAGCAGCAGCAGCACCGACCCAACACTACCGACTATCCGACACCAAGCAGCAGCAGCAGCAGGCACCACTTAACCCTACTACTAGCCACGACCCGAAGCACAGCAGACCCACAACAAGCCTACCGACTACCGCAAGCGAGCCAGAAGCAGCAGCAGCACCACCAACACAACCACTACCACTACCAGCAGCAGCAGCAGCAGCAGCAGCACCACCAACACTACCACTACCACGACCAGCAGCAGCAGCAGCACCACCAACACCACCACTACCACGATCAGCAGCAGCACCACCACCACCACCAACACTACCATGACCAGCAGCAGCAGCACCACCAACACTACCACTACCAGCAGCAGCAGCAGCAGCAGCACCACCACCAACACTACCACTACCAACAGCAGCAGCACCACCAACACTACCACGACCACGACCAGCAGCAGCAGCAGCAGCAGCAACAGCAGCAGCCCCACCACCACTACCACTACCTCTATCTACCACCGGCAGCAGGATACATTACACACCTGTGCGGTCTGTTCGCTGTAGGGCTTCTCCATGACCATCTCACCTGGCTGTGGCATCTCGAACGACAGGTTACCGACCTTCGGGTTCATGCCGTAATGCACAATCTGCAAGCAATTCCCATGCGCCATGACATGCCATACTCGTCCTTAGACGTAACATGTTATTGACAACCACATGACAGAGATCATAACCTAGATGGTGCCAAAGACAATGTTTTAGTCTCCCAGCTCGATTGTAGATGAGCATGCACATGCCAGGGAACTGTCCAACATGAGTAACTATTAGTGCCCCCAGCACTCTCATCAACGATGACGTGTGCTAGATTGCCTAGACAAAAATGCTTGGCACATTAACCTTTTAGAGAGAGGAAATATTATCCTTTAAACCTAATTGGACCTAAATTCCACCATCAGAGAATGGCCTGTTACAGCTGGCAGTACAGTTATATTGCTCATATTTCTTCTAAATATAAACAAACAAGGGTGCATTGTCAGAAACACAAACAGTTATGACTATCATAAGTCTGCAATGTCATAACTTTCACCCCGACTCTTGTCAAAAGTTATGTCATTTTAGACTTATGTCATAAAAACTTATGATGTTTCTGGAAACATGTCCTTGGAGCCCATCTAACACGCAGGTAGAAGGACATGCCATGTTGTGAGGGCCAACTCGGACACCCTACTATTAATCTGTGCGCAGTGCGTACGGGAAGCACTATTACCTGTGCATAGGCACTTTGCGTGATCTTCTGTAGGTCATCCTGAGCACCCGTTGTGATACGCTTGAAGAACAACTGCTCTGACACTCGGCCTCCAAGTGTCATGCACATCCTGTCAAACAGCTGTGGCAAATAATGCACCCCTGTTACTTCCAAGTGAAACTCAAGGTTGATGTGCATGTGCAGTCGCATGTATCGATGATGTGGTATGTATAAATAGAAAGACTTGTAAAATTGTATATTGTGTCAACGTACTGATACTTGCATAGTTTATAATATAATATGCTGTGAAAACAGACAACTGGTAACAATAGACTGTTTAGATCTTGCAGTTACTTGACTTTTGCTTTATTATTTAGTAGTTTCAAATGAGAAACAACATACCTGTTCCGTTGAATACAGGTACTGTTCTTTAGGGAGATATTGTGCATAGCCGAGTCCCTTGCCTCTGGGAATAATTGATACCTGCATTTAAAAAGAAGCAGAAATTCTCATCGAGCTGCATTGTACCAAGGTAATTGTTATGATACAATTTGCTGGGGTTATATTATGTGTTGCATCATGACATGGTAATTGACAAGCTACATTGCATTGTTGTAGGGTAAGTGTTGTATTACAGTGTGTCATGATGGTTAGGAGTCAAGACAAACTGTATTGTAATGGGATAAGTATTGAGAGACATTGCTATATAACCAAGTAAGTGTAGTGTTGCCATTCATTACACTGTGGTTATATAAGTACTGACTTACATTGCATTGTGGTGGGTGGCAACACTACACTTACTTGGCTACATAGCAATGTCTCTCAATACTTATCCCATCACAATACAGTTTGCCTTGACTCCTAACATACTACGTTGCATTGTGGTGGGTAAGTGTTGACATACATTACACTGTGGTACGGTAACTACTGATGTAATACATTACATTGTGGCCAGCTACATTGCATCATTGCAGATAAGGAACAATAGGTAAGCTTTCTGCTCGCATACCTTCAGCAGAGGGTCTGCATGCTCCAGGAACCAGCCAGCGACTGCGTGTCCCGCCTCATGGTATGCAACCGTCTTTTTCTCTTCTGGCTGGAGCACCTGCGTTTTCTTTTCCATTCCTGAGTAATTGAAAAAGATATATAAAGGAAAGAAATATAAGATAGAGATATATATAAAGAAATATAACAACATATACATCTCACAAAATTTAACAACTCATATTGTGAGAGCTTGGATATGAATATCCATACATACAAATAACATGTGCACACGCATGCCTACAAGCACACGCAAACACATGCATGCATACGCACATAAACAAACATGTGCCTGCGCATGTGCGTACAAAATTTATCATGGATGCTGGCAGAGGCATACCTGCTACAACTCGTTCGATAGCCTGTTCAAAGTCCTTCCACGTGATGTATTCACTGAGCGTGCGAGCAGCAATCAGTGCTGCTTCGTTACACACGTTTGCTATGTCGGCACCTAGAAGCACAGATAGCAGCAGCCCTCGTGAACAAATTCATCACACATTTCTGTGCTATTTGTGACTACGGGAGCAGTTTAGCATTTTGGTGTACCACTTGAATAGAATGCTGAGCCTTTGTAGAATTAAATCAGCACTCAGTGCATGGAAATATAGTCATGTATAGTGAGTAACATTATTTTCACTTGGGTCTTGCACGGAGAATTTGCAAAAATGGGTCACATCACAAATGTGTATTTTCAGATATTATTATGATGTATCTGACAAGGGGGCCCGGTTTACACATGTATGTGGATCAGACCTGTGAAACCAGGAGTAAGGGCAGCCATCTTCCTCGCCAGGTCATTTCTATCCAACTTGCACTTCAGCCCTTTGAGATGCACCTTGAAAATAGATGCCCTGAAAATGCACACACCATTCATAATAAAAGACACGTTACTCAATCCTCTTCAAACAACACGAGTAATTACCAGCGTTTTATATCATACTAAAACGTATACCATGTAATTATAGAACTAAAGTCAGTGTTGATTTCCATTTGGATCAAAATTAACTGTAATACGCTCTAAAGATCAAACAACTGAAACAGTTAATCAAATTACAAGCAATTTATTATTATTCACATGTGAAGTCAAATGTATGTAATTGAATTAAGTGATGTTGACAATAAATTTCTGATAAACAAACTTGTATCCACACACATATCCAACTACGTTATAAAAACTGATACTCTGTCTGTCATTGACAGATGTTTGTTGCAATTTTAAATTACATACCTGCCCTTGATGTCTGGTGCAGGGACAAATATCTGCCTATCAAATCGTCCAGGACGCAGTAACGCTTTGTCTAAGATGTCAACTCTGTTGGTTGCTGCTAGTATAACTACATTACTTGTTGTGTTAAACCCTAAAAAATTCAAGCCGTGCCCTTTTATAACTCATTCTGCCATGTAAGAATATTTACATATTATACAAATTAGCATTCTTATCTATTGCCTTTTGGATTGTACCTCGGAATGACGTTTTGCATCTTGGAGGGAACACAGACCATGAAGCAACATATAAAGATTGAAAGGTTGGCTTTCATCCAATTGTAAATTCCAGATACAAACGAAAATTGTTTAAAAAAATGTTAAACAAACACAAATAAGGCATATTTTAGCTCAACTGCAATGTACATACGACTATAGACCCAAACCTTGTAGGAAATTCACTTATCAACCTGAAGTGCTCCACAAGCAGCTCTAGCAAATGAGCCGCATTGCCATAAGGGCATTCGAAAAACACTGCTTAGTAACAAAGTGCTATGCAGTCCATAACTTCGTGTGCATGCGTGTTTAGCTTGACTAGCCGAGCAGCAGTATTCATCGGGGTAGGTGTGGTTATCTTGCTCACATGGATATAGGAGGATTAGGCACGGTTGATGACCCCGGTCTGTAACTAACGGCTTACCATCCATTTCGACGAGTAGCTGATTTAGCGTGTTCTCCTGCTCACTGTGGCCGCCAAAGTTCTTGCCGCCTCGCTTCCTGCCCACCGCATCGATCTCATCGATGAACAGTATGCAGGGTGCGTTCTTCCGCGCCATCGAAAACATGTCCCTCACCTGATGCATAAATCAGCATATGTAAGCAGCAGTGAGAACCATTCCAGTGATATGAAGAAGATGGTGACCATGATGATGATGATGACGATGATGATGGTGATGATGATGATGATGATGATGACGATGATGATGGTGATGATGATGATGATGATGATGATGATGACGACGTGGCAACAAAAGGAGCTCAGCAGTTGCTATAGCAGCAGCACCAGGAACAGCACCAGCAGAAGTAATAGTTAAAATTTCACCAACTAGTTGCCAGTAACTCTAAAAGGATTCCTCCTGTATCAATCACATGACTACAACAGTATTGGTGTTGGCTACCATCTGCTATTCCAATAATAACAATAGTGATTGACACCACGCGTATCGCCCACGTGTATACACTGACAAAAGCATGAACTTACTAGCTGTAGTCATCGATTCTGTTCTTTACTGATTTGCTACAGCAAGTAAATGAAATTTATTGGAATGCACAAGCTAATTTCTGTGATAGCCTGTAAATTTTTTATTTGAGGAATACATCTATAAAAAATTCAATGCAGGACTGCTTGTCATGTACTTACTCTTGATGGGCCGACTCCGACAAACATCTCTAAAAACTCCGAGCCAGACACTGATATGAATGGTACGTTAGCCTGACCGGCAGTTGCTTTCGCAAGTAGAGTTTTTCCAGTACCGGGTGGACCTGTTAGTATCGCACCCTGAAGCAATGAACGACATTGTTTAGAGCAAAATAGCTGTTATTCATCATTGTAATGTATTGTTGAAGGAACACAACAATAACTTGGCCACCTTACAATACATATGCCCCAGTTTTCTGAAAACTATGCTCAGCATATGAAAATGCATATGCATAGGCATAACAGACAGAGTATACAATACCATCAAAAATAAATTTAAAGATGAATTTAAACATTACAACCTCGGAGTCCTAACCTAAATACAAAATGACTTGTACAATGTGCAAAAAATATCTTTATTCTTTATTACGTTGACTATTCCACAAATTCTGCTATAGCGTGGGTGAAGACAGTTAAGACGTAGTGTTATATAGCTGGTTTCGTTTCGTGCTGCGGTGAAGCTTGAAGGCAACGTCAGACTTGTCTCTGTGTCTCGTGCGATGTGAGTCGTTGACGATGGAGATCACAGAAAAACCAACACGTCTTTACGGTAACAGATGAGATGATATTTTATTCTACTCAGAGGCTACTGATGCAGACTAGTGTAGTACTGCATGAGAAACTGTACTTTGTAAGAACTTTGTAAAACTTGTAAACTTCGCAGGAACCTTGTAAGAGCTGGTAAAACTTGTCACCACTGCTCGCGCATCGTGCGCGGCCTCGCGGTGTCAACCCGCGCCCACGCGCATCGTGCGCGGACTCTCTCTTCGCTCTTCTGCCTAGACTACTTAAGATAACTAACCCTACCACATTTGTTTAACACGCACGCTCGCCGTGTATTTCTGGCCTGCGCGCAACCAACCCGTGCTAACCTTACATAATGGTCTGCGGCTAAATGATACACAGCGCGCTCAACGGTCGCTGCTAATGATACACCCTATTGCTACATTCGTCATACATGTGTCACCAGTATCTATTCAAACTAAACTACTTTCTACCTTCTAATAATTCTACATTACATTAACACTGTTACACGTAGCGCGACGCCATACCTTGGGAATTTTCGCACCCAGCTCTATATATTGCTGAGGATTCTTCAGGAAATTCACAAACTCCATGATCTCAATCTTCGCCTCTTCGCAGCCAGCTACGTCCCTGCATGACACAAAACACAGAGCAGATAAAACAAGAGCATCGCATGGGTACCCATCTACGTCCCTGTGAGGCGTGAAACATGGAGCAGATAGAACAACAGCTGGTGTCTGCTCCTACATCCCAGTATGAAGTGAAATACAAAAAATAACAATACATAATGGCATCACGGAGGTACCTGCACCCAACTCCCTACCCCTCCATAACACCAAACACACGAACAAAGAACAACACCTGTGCTATTACCTCAGAAATACCATTTTGTGATATCTTAGATCAAACACAATAACAGCAATCACTCACGCACCGTTTGCCACTACTACAGCAACAGAAGGAGCATCGCTCCACACCCCATTAAGAATATCTGCTTATTCTGCTTTATCCAGCTGTCTTAGACACAGACAAAAATATAATTATCCAACATTTGCTCCAATCTCATTCTTAAACAATCCTCAATCTACTTACATCTAACACCGCGACCGTCGATGCCTGAACGTGAGTCAAATTCGGACCTAGAGCATTCACTACCCCACTACCATCAGACCATCCTTAAAAAATTCAATGTTTGCTGTCCCCCGACCCATGATTTTTTTAGTGGGTAGGTAGGTAGGTCTTCTTCTTTTTTGTGAGGCATAATAGTTATTTTAAGTCTGCCCTTATGTTTGCCACACATGCTTTGTGTTTCAGTCTTAACTATAAAAAATGAAAAAGAAAAAAAAAAACCAAAATGTAAACAAAACTTTTGGGTCGCGGCTATTTTCGTGGGTCGGTCAGAGGACAGCAAACAGAATTTTTTAAGGATGGCCTCCAATATCGCTACCAACCCATACCTGAACGTAACTCCGATCTCATCCTTGTTAATGAGCTTGGCCGTGCTCTCGCCCATGCCAAAGATTCCTCCTTTCTTTGAGCCGCCGCCCATTGCTCCAGCCGATCGCCGCATCATCCACAACAGGAAACCGATGAGTAGGATAGATGGAACAAAGCTCATCAGACTCGACCTGTGGAACGGATGGAAATACAGTTGTAGCGAGGGTTGCGTTCGAGTGTAATATTGGTCACTACACAGTCCATCACTAACCGATTAGGAAGAGAAAGGGGAGAAAGAGAGAGAGAGAGAGAGAGAGAGAGAGAGAGCCGGAGAGCAGAGACGGAGAGGAGGATGAGAGAGAGAAGAGAGAGAGAGAGAGAGAGAGAGAGAGAGAGAGAGCGTGCGAGAGCCAGAGAATAGGTGCGTGAGAGAGAGAGAGAGAGACAGAGACAGAATGATTGATTGAGTGAGAAAGGGAGGGAGTGGAAGCGAGCATGAGAGACAGACAGACACACAGACAGATATAGAAAGGGAGTGAGGGAGAAAACGAAGGAGAGAGAGGGAGGGGGGAGGATGAGAGAGAATCACAATGATTACTTACATCTGCATCATACTGCATATTCACCGCATATGACAGGCCAGGTTTTAGCCAACTGACCAATCAATTTGGCCTGATTGACTGGCAGCTCAAGTCAGTCACTGTTGCAATAGTTCATTTGCTAACTTTATATCTCGGTGTCAACTTTCATCAAACCCACATGGGGTAGTGCACTGTACACCAGAGAAGGTCCAGGACTCCACACACATGCAGTTTAGAGGCTGCAGTGAAGGTTTACCACAGGCTTACCGATGTACAGAACTACACTTCCGATTACACCATGCACCTAATGCATGCCTCACATAACAGGTGTACCACAACCGAAGCATATGCGTCGCTACATTTAGGCAGTACACTACGCACTTCACGCAGATGAAAATATGCTGAAAAATTATGGAGGCACTTCGATCTCTACAAGATGCTTCCTTAGGAACATTTTATTAGAAATCATTGAAGGTTGGACCTAGACACTATTGCAAGGACCTAGACACATGCAATAACATTCACAATGACTATTCTGCCTTTCAGCAACTATATCAAGGGACTACTTTCTCACAGACTCTCAGAGGAGGAGGCAGTATTTAGATAGGCTGTGTCTTGGAATTGTGGACGACCTCACTTACCCGTCGAGTTCGGACTTGTAGACGACATTGACAAAGTTTGCCGCATCAATGTTCATCTCTAGCTGAGTGTTCTCGAGATTTCGCTCAAAAGAATCAACGCTGCCAATGTTAAACCACAACACATTCTGAAATAAAACACCCAATTAGTACAGATAATGATAAACTAGACAGTTATATATGATGGTACATCCACCTTGTGGTTTTTAGAAACAGATAATTCAGCAGAATTTGCTGCATTGTGAATGATTAATTAATGATAACCGATGATGATGATAATAACAGTAATGGTGATGATTACACTGATGCATTAACGATGATATATGTTTGAGTATTCTTCCACATAAGGAACTTGTGTCCATATGCATCACTCGAAATTCACATAACTACATAATTAACTATCTCCATAACAAAAAGTGTAGTAATATGTGAGCAAAACAAAATATGTAACCATAGTGGTAGGTGCTTTATATGAGTTAACATGTGTATGTGGCTATGCGCTCTTATCGTAATGTATGCTACAGACTCTCGAAAAACACATTCTTGGTAATTACTAATTACTGTGAAAATTATTCTCATGAGAACAATAGGGAAGCTGCTTACCCCACCTTCTACCTGGATGCCAGGTAGCAGCTTCACTCGCACCCATTTCTTGTTGACGACTTCTAGTTTCTCAACCTGTGCACATAGAAAAATAATAATATTTATTTAACTTTTTATTCATCAAATTCATTGTGTCATTAAATACTTCCAAAGCTACCATTGCGGTTTTATGCAGACTCCCTATCCCCGCCTGATTAGTTAAGGGGTGATGCACAAAAACCTGTAATTATCAAACACAAAATACCTACACTAACAACAATAAAAATAGACTTTTATGCGGGAGTTCCTAAATGGACAATATAACTAAACCTCTCAAGTTCATCTTTTAAACATTTACACGTGCTGCTAGTACATGTAAGTTTCATCAGACCATACATGGCAGGGTTTCTTCTGAAAGAAAATTAGACAAAGGACGAAGGAGGTAATGGCCAGTTTGGGAAATGAAAGTGTCAATGACACTGTAGCTCACCTTGGGTGTGATAGAAGAGGGAGGGGGGATATATAAAGCAAGAGTATATATGGGAGAACTCCCATTATATACTCTTGATAATGATAATATATGAGTAATTTTTGATGCGAAAATAAATGTTTCAGATCTGTTGGCATACAATCTGACGGCGTTGACCGTAGGCAGACAGTGAAATGCATAGTGAAATTTCCAAAATCTACCTAATTTGCATAAATTTTAAAAAAAATATAAAAACCCGTGTGATATGTTTTGGGGCCAGTCCTTATTCATTCACATACCAGAATTGAGCAAAATCCTTTGACCCTGAACTGACTTATGGCTATTTCCATTTTTGCCAAAAAGTGGACCTCGCTCGAAAGTAGGTCGACTACTGTATGCAATTTGAAACATGTGGGTCAAACGGTTCTTGAGTTATCGTTGACCATAGGCTGACACTGAAATGCATAGGCGAATTGCCAAAATCTACCTAATTTGCATAACTAAAAAAAAAATCAAAACCTGTGTGATATGTTTTGGGGCCAGTCCTTATTCATTCACATACCAGAAATGAGCAAAATCCGTTGAACCTAAACTGACTTATGGCCATTTCCATTTTTGCGAAAAAGTGAACATGGCTCGAAAGTAGGTCGACCGGTGTGCTCCAAAATAAGACGTTCAAACCTAACCCAAAAGAGAAACAACTATATGCAATTTGAAACATGTGGGTCAAACGGTTCCTGAGTTATCGTTGACCGTAGCCAAATGTTGACGGACGGACGGACAGACGGACGGACGTATGACGGACGACACTCCATGGCATTAGCTCATCTTGACGATATAAAGGTGAGCTAAAAAACGTGCGTGCCGTAGGCACTTATGCGGACGCATCACATGACTCATTAAACGTACATGGCAATCTAAATATGCCAGAAGCACGTGGTGATCTATTTATTTTTGGGTTGACTCTATTTTGACAACGGCGGGTAAATATAGGAAAATTTTCACAACGGCGATATTAAATTTGACAACGCTGGTGCGCCACTGTGCCTCTTATGTATAAGAAACCCTGCATGTGTAAACTACATGAGCCTGTGTGAGTGCCAGAAAAGTGTTCCCAAACATAACGATGATATAAGCTGACTGTTAAAAGGGCCCATGCAGGCCCGCTCAATCATCAAGAGGCAATGTGCTCGGCCATACTGAGAGCACCTCAGAGGAACTAAACTCCAGACCTTCTTGCATCTTTAAGATCTGTAGAGAGCTGACACTTACAATGCCCTTGGCGAGATAGTTGCCGACAAACTCCTTCCATGTGATTTCCTTATGATTCATCTCATAAAGTGCGAGCAGACCAAGGAAGCCGAGTCCCGTTACCGCGGCGATATACATCATCTTCTGTTGCTCCTCGTTACCTCCGCTGCCTCCAAATGAGCCTTTCCCTCTTTAACATAAAAATAACATTGCTGCTTTGACTGCATAGAATCATGTATACTCAACTTTAAATTTGATTAAATCTATTACATCATTATACATGTATACCATCAGGAGGAAATAAAAACAAATTGTTTGCGAAAAACAATTGTTTTTAGTTCAAACTGATATCACATTGATATTTTTGTGAACTGAAAATGCAGCTCCTAGTCCTACAAAATTCAGTACTCTATTATTTGATTTACTCAAAACTATGTTCATGCACATTCACATACTTGTTACCAGACCCAAATGAAAAAGGCCATGGGTCTGTAGGTTTCTTTGGTGTTGGGGGTGTGCTTCCGTCTTTGGGTGTCCCTGCACCCTCACTATTGGGATCTGACTTGCTTGGTGGGGAATCCTTTGCATTGCTGTCCTCCTTTGATTCTTTTGCACCCTCTGTTGAACAAGTTTTAAAACTTTAATCATTACAAAAAGCAGTCATAAACTAAGGGCATCTGCATACATTTCGATTTCTGCTAAAATACAACCGTAAACTTCACATAGCAAACCACAACAAGTGCCGCGGAGCGAAAGCGCTCATCTAACGTCTACTGCGGTGACTCTGTGGTAGAGTGGTGGGATTCTAGTAAACCCTGTTAGTCCCAAATGTGTTCACATACACGCCGAAACAGTGGACAGGGATGGTATCAGGAACCTTCTCAAAGGAATGTTCGTTGGGATCGTTATGAAAGTTGCCACGAGATGGCGCGTACGTTTAAGTGTCTTCAGATTAAAGATGGAAGCTCCCATCATACGTAGTAGCAACAACTATTTGCAAGACAGAATAGGTAAGCACTCATCCATTTACCTACGCATGCCTACAGGCTGCAATAGAGAGCTGCCACCTGTAACCAATTAACGCAGGCAAAAACTACACAGTACCACCACCACATGCACTGGCAGTGGCCACTGGCAGTGGCATATGTTACATGTAACATACTGACAGTACAGAATGCCATAGAAATTATACGATTTAAGGAGCATAAACCTTCTTCAACCAAATTTAGCTTTTGAAATTTCACTGTGACATTGTAGCCTCATACATCCAGGCATGTATAGATTCTACTAGCAAACCCGGCAGTCAAATTCTTTCTAACAGACAGTAACAAATCCATGTTTAACCCTCCTCTTGAGGGTCAAAAGGTTATCCGACACTTACTCTTCGCATGTCAGCAGAAGGTACATTTCATGGTCCTTTCAATAAAGCCATAGAAATGCTAGGTCACCGCTGAAACAAAAAAGTTTTTCAATCGCTCTGTCAGACCATGTCCTCAGAAAATGTTTAAAATCTGCCCTGTGCCCATTGACCTTTGACCTGTGACCTCCAATTTCGGCACAGTGATGGTTTTTCCTACCATGATGCTATACAGGGACTATCACGAGCCTAGGTCGAGCCGTTTAGATTTGTGCCGCAATTCTGCATTTCCTCCCTATACCTTAAGTTAAGGAGGGAATGTTCCCCCTTCTTTTACACCTCTTGACCTTTGACCCGCAGCTTCGACATCCCAACTCGTTTTGATGATCCCCCCCGACGTCCCGAATATCGTGACCGTACGTCGAGCGGTTAAGATTTGTGCCCAACTGTTGACAGACGGACGGCCGGACGGACGGCCAGACGCACGCACGCACGCACGGACGGAGACGGACGGACGGACGATCGTGCGATTCTACAAGCTGCATCTGACTTCGTCAGATGAGCTAAAAATCTAGAAACATTTCGTAGTAATTTGAATGTAAATCTTGACACTTGACAAAGATGTTCACATTTTGAGAATAAATACCATGCTGGTATCAGATTTATAATTTATAATATAACAACATGTCTATCATGAAACTGTCACAACTGAACAATAACTGCTACCCATTTTTGACACACTGCTATCATCTAAGTCTGTGTACAGTGCTTGACCACTGTACTCGCTCATGACATAATCATGCAACATACACAACATGAGATTAGCTGTAAGCTTTTCACAGACTCCATCCTGTTCACTCAAACGTCTGCCAACAGCATAGTAAAATGAAATAGCTCTCCTCTCACATCAACACACTGCTGTACCATGAGCTTAAAAACACAACTAATTTTTTTAACTGTTATTATTTTTGATGTGTGGCTCAAATTCTATCTTATGTAATTTTAATAACATAGATAGCAACTTACATAGCAATCTTTACAAAGTTTCTGCTCATCGGTTGTGATAACTATCATATAGCACCATGCATCAATTTTGTCTCAAGAAAACTAATTTTGCAATTGGCTTCACACATTAACCACACTTCCTTATGACGCTGTCACACCTCCATATGAAAGCCAGCATATACCGACGTATGAAAAATGTGGTGAATACGCTGGCATACGTCGAATAAGTTATGGTTAAGCTTACCCATAACTTATTCGACGTACGCCAGCGTATTCACCACATTTTTCATACGTCGGTACACGCTGGCTTTCATACGGAGGTGTGACAGCGCCATTAAGGTGGTGCTAGCAAGGAAACTTGTTTATTTTTACGTTTATTGTTATGGATCACACTGGCAGCCTGGAGTATATACATTCATCCGATATAAATATAGTAGGTGTCTAGGTGACACTACTCAAAATTACGCCCCCATAGTTATTGCATGAGTACTGGTAGTGTATTGACTAATGCCTGTGGTTCTTAGCCAGGTTTACACAGAAAAAGCCTAGGAACATGACTAACTGCTGTTACAGGGCACGGATTAGGTGGAGGGTTAGTATGTCCAGTGCTTTTCTGAGTTGCGCAATCTAAGATCTACCGCCCTTAATATATATTTAGTTCAGGGTAGTAACCTTGCTTAAAACATCCCTTACATTTATTCATGCAGCACGGCATACCTGAGGCTTGCTTTGGAGCAGCCTTCTGAGCTCCTGGGTAGAATTTTTCGAACCCCTTTGGTGGCTTTTGACAGAAGCGTTGCCATTCTTCTAGTAGGCAGCTAAATGTCCGGGGTGATATTTTTCTCGTTGCAGTTGTTAACTGCCTTAGGCTCTGAAGGTTGCAATCATATTGTGTTAGTTATTAAGTTTTTTAATCACCTTTTTACTATAGTTTGACAGTGTAACATTCAAGTCATTAGGCAACACAAATACAGTAACTCAAGTACAACTTCTTTCCACATACAGTGCCTATCTAGAATATATAACATCGGCGACTACAATCGTACAATGAAGATGGCCAAATGTCAATCCGTGAGTAATGCTGTGGGTAGTGTTGTCAATCGGTTGTAATTTCGTAATCGATCATCGGTTGGACCCAAGTAACCGATGATCGGTTACAATCGGTTACTCGGGGTGTTGAATGCCTGAGTGTGCGTAACATCGTGCGCATGTACGTGTGTGCATGTATGTGCTTGTTTAGCCCTGTTTACTGTTTGTTTTGCACTGTTTACTACTGTGTGTATAATACATGTATGTTAATAAAAGATAACTTGTATAGTGGCGATGATATCTCTGATTCTCATCACTTTTCCAAGTTTTCTTGCTCAAGTTTTTTTTTTTATGAAATTGATTATGGATTTTGATAACCAAGAGCTTGGTTCGAGCCACTGTTCAACCGATGATCGAGTATAATCGATGATCGTGACATCACTAGCTGTGGGGCTGTGCCAGTTTCAGCTCTACCGGTATAGGCCTTCCACTCCCGCTACACAGCTATACTACAACCTGTGACGAGGATCTGATAAGAATGTTTACAGTGTAGCCGGCAACGCTGTAGTCAGTCCTTGTGTTTTGAAAAAGGCAGGCGAGTGAAAAATCACACGCTTTGGCTTGCCGAGGTGTGTGATTTGCATCCGAGTGCCCGCAGGTCACGAGGCAAACTAGGGGGGTTCCGCATCCCCCCTCGGAAAAAATTTGAAATCTAGACTTCATGAAATGCTATTTCCAGCATTTTGGGATAAAAATTAGCTCTGCGTTTGTACTCTTAATTTTGACATTTTTTAGGTGATTTTTTTTCATCTAACAAAATATCAGTTCTTGAACATATTGATGGATAACTTGAATCACACATTTAGCATGTTTAGTCAAAAAGGAACAACACTCAAAGCAGACTATTAAAACTTTAATAGTATTTGCAACATCATAATCATTCAGTCACTTGTTTGCATTTTTGTCAATTTGAGGTATTTCAGTTTCATTTCAAGAAAACATACATGTTTTGCAATAAAACTTCACTAAAAACCTAAATCAGGCTTTTTAATTTTCATTGTCAGCTGCATCTTCATCACCAGTCTCGATCTGCTGTAGCAATTGAATACAGTAACAGTCATATTCATCATGTATGGCTCGCGTATGATAGGCCGGACGGTTTTGGTTTTGGTTTTGGTTTTGGTTTTAGTTTTGGGTGAGTTCGGGTGCAAAGCAGTCAACGCAGGCAGTAGGCTTTGTGAGTTACGACAGTCGAGAGGTGTGTATACGGTTCAGTGTGTAACGGAAGAATACCAGAGTCAACGATAAGTCAAGCTTTCGTCGGTGATAAATAAATGATGAGCGGATGAATTGATGTTAAAGACTGCTGTTGGTATAAACGTTACAACTGTCGTTATAAACATGTGAACCGACTTCCTGCAATGTCCGTGACGTTTACAACCGTTTGCGTTTATCTTCGAGTTTATAAGTTGAATTAATGAAAAACAAAACACGAAGCGAGGTGCGCGTTTTGATAATGCTTAGATGCGCGTTTTTTCGCACTTCTCCTGATCGATCGAGGCGCGCGATGGCGCACGAGCGCGATCGCGCACCTTAAAACACAAGGACTCTGTAGTAAATGCTAGATAAACTTGTATCCTAAATAGCCGGCCAGCTAGAAATTCACTTTTAAATCACAATAACAGGGTCAAATTGGCCCCTTTATTGAACACAAATGATCGCACTACCTACTAGAGTGTTACTAGAGTCAACTATACAATATTAAGTGCCTACCATACAAAGAGAACACTAGTCACTACGGCTCCGAAGCGCTTAGATCAAGCATCGCATGCTGAAATCACACATGTATCCATATTTGAATTAAAAGAATTGTGGAGCTACCGATACGTATGCGCCCTGCATTGTTCCAGGGATGGGTGGGTAGTCTTCCACCACCACCACAGGGGTTGGTGGCAAGTAGCTGCAAGAAGGCAAGTCAACTGCTTAGTGATCACATTATTATTAAAACACAACAAGAGATACATAATCATTACAGATATAAGTTTGGAAAGTAATCGAGCTCATTAATTGATTAAATTTGCCTCCCCTAGGGAACCGTCCACCTCTCTCAGGAAAATGGGAGCGCCGCCATGGATGTATGTTTTGGTCGTATGATTGCTTGCATTACATAGTGGGGCCAATTTTGTCACGTTATGGCGATTTAAATGTGAATTTCTAGCTAGCTGGCCGGCTAAAGAATAAAAGTTTATCTCGCTGGCTAGGGTGATTTTTTATTGTGCCACAGACTACAGCATTGCCAGCCATGCATTGAACATTCTTCTCAGATTCTCGTCATAGGTTGTAGTACTATATATATAGCACTGTAGGCGTAGGCGTAGCGGGAGCAAGGGGGCTGCACCGGTAGAGCTATGTCAGTTTGGTCCTGCACCCAGAGATCCCTACTGTAGCCAGAGTGGTTCAGACCAGAAGTTCTCATCTTTTTACACCTACCATTCTCTTGCTACCATGTGATTTCCCTGCACATTTACTTTATTCTTGCCTACTAATACTCTTGTTGTTTGCGGTCTCTTTTTTTATTCTCCAACCAACTGCCAAGCAACACACCGGTCATTTGAGAAAGATATTCCTTAACAACTGGCTGTAGAACACGTACTTACTACAGCTGATAGGGTCTATGTCCCCCAGGGTACAGCCGGAACGTACCCTGGGTACGTTCCGGAACGTACCCTGGTAATTATCTAGCTGATATGGTTAGGGTTAGTGTTAGGGTTAGGGTCACAGTTAGGGTTAGGGTTGGGGTTAGGGAGTAGGCGTAGGCGACTCCCTAGACCCGTTAGTGGAGTAGGCGAGGTACGGTCCGGCATATTAGATAGTAGTATTTAGTACCAGGGTACGTTCCGGTATACCGGACCGTACCCAGGGTACGTTCCGGCAGTACCCTGGGGGACATAGACCCTATCAGCCTTACTACATCTAAATGAGACCGAAACAATGATCAAGGTCAGTCACTGAGTGAGTAAAATTAATGTATAGTTACTTGCCAAATGTTAGATGAAACTTATATAAAGCAAGATACTTGTATGTTTGTCAAATTTAGAACATTAAGCAATGATACACGCATGTTGCAGTGAATTATTTCTAACAGTTGCGTCATGCACTGCCACTAGGCCTAGTGGCAGTGCTGCTGGTGTGCTACATTCCAGTCAGTGAATCACATCTTCTTTGGCTTTGCCAAACATACCAATCTTCTGTGGATCTCGCTTCTTCTCATTAAGCTTCCGCAACACCCTGTTATAGAAATGCACCTATACGCCATTATTCCTTACGTTACCACCATGTGTGAATATCGTTTTTATCGGTTAATCACATAAACAGTTTAAACAACACTAATCTACGCGTTTTGTACTAGTGACATGTTGCCGACTTGACCCTTGGCTTGACCCCATCAGTGTACTGTAAAGAGCATGTTATTTATCGTATGTTATCTAATCGTATACACATAAAATATTTGCACTTATCTATATAGTTTTTACAATTATAAAGTATAGATAAATAGTATTACAATATTTAGTTGTATGTATAAATTTTAAATAGTAAAGTAATAAAATTATTCTTGTACGGTGTTAATTGAATATAAGGCTAAAACCGGAAGTGTGGCCGGCCTGTATCCGATGGAGATTTCTAGTAAGTTTCTTAAGATGATTCTAAGTGAATTTGTTTTCATTATTTTGGGTCACTGTTAAAACCTCAACATTTTGAAATAAGGGTTACCAGTTGGAAGGTGTTCCGTTCACATACATCGTGTGACTGTTTTGTTTCTAATTTATTACTAGGGCATGATGGGTATAGCGGTAACACTAACAGTAACACGTTCAATTTGTGCTAGGCCCTACTTCTTTTGTTTGTAAATTTTACCGTAACCATTCATTCCCTTTCCACTCGGACACATTCACTCTTAGTCACTGTCACGTGCTGGTCACCAAAATTCTCACTTACTGGAATGGTTTTGTTTATTTGATTAGTTCGTTTATGCAATAATTCACATATATTATCATGATTCATATACTCACTATATATTTAAAATAAAAATAGAATCTACACAGACTACAGTATAATACTGTAGTCTGTGTAGATTCTATTTTAATTTTAAATTCAACATTTTAGATTACTACCAATTCATTCAGGATTCTCCCTAGCCACAAGTAACCTTCTTACTTCTCACTACATACAAACTGTAAAACAATGTACATTTCTAAACTTATTTTGTCAGCAATCTCTTTATCCCTTTAGTTTAGCATCTTTTTATCCGAAATTGTACAACTGTTAACCCTGATCACATAATATTAATAGTGATTAGTGTATTAATTATTATGTGTATAAATTTATTTTAACAGATGAACCAAATGGTATCTGTGATAACCACAATGCGATGCAAGCTGTGAAGATGAAGCCGTTTGTATAGGCACTCAGGCCCTCAGAGACAACACGTTGAACCACCTGGTGTGATAGCAAATTAAGACTCAATCTGTCACTTGTTAGTAAACTCGCTTGCAGTCTGTTGAGTCAATGGTTTATTCTTCACCTATTGCACAGGATCACGCTCTGTAAACGACCTGTTTAGCTAACGCTCCTTTCGTCTGCTGTGCAATAAACAGTCGGTCTACTCGATGGTCCCTCCTTCGCTCCGTCGTGCACGGATCCCCGCTCTCTTCTTCTAGTGATGGCTGCAAACTTCTGGAAGAGCTCGCACTGTCAGCAGTGGCTGCTTGAGAAGCAGCTGCTTGACCAAGTGCGGCAGGACGACCTCGCCGTTCTCTCCGAGGACGAGTACCAGAAGGTAATGATCTTCATCGCCGGCCTCGTGCAGGCGCTCGGCGAGCAGCTGAAGGTCAGGCAGCAGGTCATTGGCACGGCGACAATGTACATGAAGCGCTTCTACTCGCGCAACTCTCTCGGCAGCGTTGACCCGCTGCTGCTCGCGCCGACCGCCATCTTCCTCGCTTCAAAGGTCGAGGAGTTTGGCGTGATATCGAACAGTCGGCTGATCTCGACGTGCCAGGCAGTCGTGAAGAACCGATTTGCGTTCGCGTACCCTCAGGAGTTCCCCTACAAGATCGCGCACGTGCTCGAGTGCGAGTTCTTTTTGCTCGAGCTGATGGACTGCTGCCTCGTGCTCTACCACCCCTACCGGCCGCTGCTCCACTACGCGCACGACATGGGCGAGCCTGAGCGTGTGCTGCCGCTCGCGTGGAAGATCGTCAACGACTCGCTGCGCACCGACGTGCACCTGCTGTACCCGCCGTACCAGATTGCCCTCGCAGCGCTGCACATGGCCTGCGTCATGCTCAACCGCGACGCGAAGCAGTGGTTCGCTGAGCTGTCCGTCGACATGGACAAGATCATGGAGATCACGAGGCAGATCCTCGCGCTGTACACGCTCTGGAAGAACTACGACGAGAAGCGAGACATTCCGGCCATCCTCAACAAGATGCCAAAGCCAAAGACGGCGCCAGACAAGTAGCTGTGCGGGCCGTGTGTGATTGGTGAAAATAACTGGAAAATACCTAGGTAATATTTTCGTCTGCTGGGCTTATTCGGCGGATGCAGTTGATGGGTCAATCGCTCCTGCTGGTGACATCATTTTGCAGGTTTTATCAGAGATTGTACATCGCTTAAAATTGCATTTACGAACACTAACTGGACGTGTTTAGGTTACGGTTGTATTTGACTCATGTTACACATTGTAACTTTGGCAGCTTGGTTGTCGTAGTTATGATATGCAATGTTATTGTGTATATATTCTTTATGAGCTATAAATATGTCGCAGGGCTGGCAGAGACAGAATTTCCTGCTGCTATACATATGTCTGGAGATAGAACCTCAAACATTCTTGTACTTACGCGGTAGACCATAACTTGTGTTCTGCAACTATTATACGACGCAACTATTACATGTTTACTATGTAATGTACATGTCTCTGGTGGCAAGCGCTGTTCATTCTGATGCAAGCTTATACTTATAGCCATCCTGTCCCATTGTTACCCGATGTATGCGCACAGTACATTGCTTTATTCCTTGATGTGCAGACTTGTTTTGGACCAGTTTTTAATTAATTATAAGGTAAATTATTGAACGGGAGTGAGGTCAGAATAGTTTACTGACAATATCATCGCGTTAATGAAATTTTAATTTTCAAAGCAAGAACAATTATTTTATATAATTGGCATAATCTTGGAGAGAAACGAAACTTGACTACAATGATAGTAAGTCTTGCAGTGAAAATGGCTTTGTTGGTGATTTGTAAATTGAATAAACTATGATTGAAGTCCTACTGTTAAAAGGTTTTCTGTATACATCTTGTCTTATTTCACTTTTCCGTGTATGTCATAACAGTACATTACAGTACAGTGACTAGAGCATGTAAAGAGTTGACAATCATTAGACATACTTGACAAATGTAAATGTTTAGGTGTTCGCCGGGATCTGAGAAGGTACACTTGGACTTTCTCGACAACTTTTTAATTTCAGCTATCGTAAGATGGCAGCACCGCATAGTAATTAACGTTTTAATCGAAAAATTTTGAGTGATTGCTGCTCCGAAACGTGTCAAGAATAAAAGTCGTTAACGACTTGTATGCAGTTACCGGGCGGGGGACGATCAAAACGACACTCTCCGAGGGCAAAGGCCAAAAGACACCGCTCATTCCACTAAACAGAAAGGCAAAAACACCCACGCCTCAGCAACGGTGTAGCGACTGACTTGCCGAGCATTTCACTATGTTCTGCGCACATAGTGGATGCCGGAATCTCTTTCAATTTACCGCTACAGAGGCGTACGGAATTCTCTGGCTTACTGATTCGAACAACGAACTCATGACTTTCAGCGCAGCGATTAAACCACTAAGCTATACAGACAAGCTTAACCACATTGATCATAGATGTCTGCAATACGTTTACGTTTACACAAGTTAGAAAACATTTCAGCAAAGAGTTTACGGGGATTCGAACCCAGGTTAAATATAGATGGCTGTCTAGCGATCTAACTCCCTACTGCGCACACGTTTTCGTATAAACCCGTCGTTTCTGCATTGATACATACATAGTACATTACGGACGCGACAATTCCTCTCCCTATCTTTTTTTACTCTCCATCTCTCGCCTCTTCTTTTCTTATTTCAGACTTTGTTTATCTCCCCAAAAAGCGCAAAATGGTTTACTATACCCGACACAAACGCACTATTTTCGGCGCGAACGGGCGTGCGCCGCAAGTCCTCCGATATTTCCCCTTGTGAAGCTGAGAAATTATTCGAAATGTGTATACTCGCACGGCGCCGTAGCGCAGCTTTCTATTGGGGGGGGATTCTTTTTCAATGTTGGGCCAATTGCTCCGGAGGGGCGTGTACAGATTTTGATACCAGGGGGTACTAACCGTAACCCACTATTTGCGAGCAGCCCGAAGGGGGGTCTGGGGGCCTCCCCCATAATTTTTAAAAATTACACCCCTAGATGCGTGTTGCTGCGCGAGCAAGGGGGGTCCGGACGTCCCTGGACCCCCCCCCTTTTAAACACCGCCCGTGCTCGGGACGCGCGAAGCGACCAAGCGAGGGAGGCCAAGCGAACCGAGCGGGGGAGGGTCTGGGAGGGAGGGTGTTCACTGTTCACCCTCCGCCACGCATGGAGATTTTGCAATTATATACACTAAAATGGACGCACCAGAGCGTGAATAAATTCTGCAAAATTTTCAAAAAAAAAAATCTTTGCCTTGGGGGAGGGGCTCGCGGGGGGGTTCGTTCGAACCCCCCGAACCCCCCCTGGCTACGGGCCTGTATATGTATAGCCAAAGCGCACAAACGGAGTTCACTGGTTGCCCTAGAGTTGCTGACGGAAGCATTATTTCGCTGAATTTCTGCAATTTGCATAGAGAGCACTTCGCCAGCTCTAGGTGCATGCGATAAAAAAATATTCGCTAGCGTCTCAGCCCGTCGCAGAGGCAACGTCGGAATGAGGTGCAGGTGGTAAAATCGTCGACCAGAGACTATGTCCAGTGCTGATCATATAGGATATATAGCCGCCGTCGGCCAGACGAAAAAGATGGCGCTCTGCAATTCGCATATACGCAGGCGGTCGCCGAATTTTACCAAGTTTTCCTATAGGCGGATAGCCCGAGAATGGTTTGAATGCCTCATGCTCTATTTTTTGGCACGAACGGGCGGTCGCCACCACTAGCTAGAAACTGATTCGTGAATGATGCATAATACATTCTAGTGACATGTTTATTGTCAGATCTCTCACATTTTCTCTGATTTTATGTAATAACCTTGGTAGGGATGCATTAATTACTTGTTTAACTATTTACCGACTCCTAAGCCTAATTAATGTAATTTCATGTTGTCTGTCGTAAAACCCTTGTTTCATACCTACCCCCACCATTGTACATTTTGATTTGGATCGATTGGTTGCGCCCCTCGATCCCTTAATTAATTGTCATTACTCGGAATTTCTGATCGTCATAATTATCCAGGACTTCATAATTTTTTATTGGAAACGCCAAAACGGGAATGCTTTCAAAAAATCGTCGCTGAAATGACACTTTTACCAAATAATATTCTAGTTGGAATATATCATTTACTATAGTATAGCGTGCTGTATCAAAATTACACGTGAAATACAGTGTGTACATTTGTAAAAAAACAGATTAATTCACAGCGACCGTGTTTGCCGTTCATGATCATGTTATCCCGGCTATCATGTGAACGAGAAAATAGATGAATGGCGACAGAATGTTATCCCATGCACACCGGTCATATGGTCGGTGTATATGATTACATATATTGCAGCAAAATGCTTGGGTTTTATGCATGTTTATTAGCGAATTCAGTGCGTGAAAAATGCGCGCACGCGGCATATAAATATAAGTCATCTGCAAAATATGTTCGTCAAAATATAGGAGTGTGGACTAATTACCGCGTAACCCCCACTCCTGTTCATAAAAGCTTCGCTTGGTCATCAAAGCCATCCGTCGTATACTTGCCATCTTGTTCGATCAGAGGCGCTGTTACTTACGTGTCGTGGTTTTAATTAACTTGACTTCTTCAACCGCCCTGCCCTGTCTGCGCCGTAAACAACCGTCGAGCCAGAATATTTTGAACACGTGCCAAATATGATTCGGCCGCCTTCGAATTCTGCACGTGACGGCGTAGCTTCCCCTATATGCCATTATGCCTGTAGGATATTAGATGTCCTACTGATACATACATTACATTATATCAAGAGCGTATAAAGAGCGTATCAAGAGCGTATCAAGAGCGTATCAGAGCGTATCAAGAGCGTATCAGAGCGTATCAAGAGCGTATAAAGCCTTCTTTATACGCTCTTGCTTATATGGAAGCCCGCACTGCTGGTGTTTACTGTCATGTGATACCGATATGTGATATCCCCATAAAAGGTGTTTATCCCTTTTCGTTCTTTTCTACGCGTTAGGGATACTGTACTAATATTATAAATTATAATCGACTAATATTTACTGGCTGGTAACGTGTCATTACCATCTCGCGTAAAAACCAATTACGTATAGGCGCTCGCACGTGCGTACACGCGTACTCTCAGACACGCACGTACTCACGCACGCTCGCACACAAACACGCACGCACGCACACAAACACGCACGCACACACGCACACATACGCACGTATGCACGCGCATACACGCGCATACACTGCACGAAACGCACACGCACGAGCATATGCGCATGTATATGCACATTATGCACACATGTGCGCATACACATCGTGCATATGGGTATACGGTCGTTGTTTTTGTGTAGGCTTGGGGTAGACTGTTTACTTGTCACCATTTTCGGTGAAAGTTACGGATGCGGCGTGACACGGTTTGCATCTTGACATTGCTTCTATACGGTCTAAACAACTTCTATACGGTAACAAACAAGTTAGAACGTTTTTACGTTTTAACTACAAGGTCTGATTATTTTTTTACTTTGAAGCAGTTATGCGTTCCCACGCCTGCGCGTGGGCCGTACATACATGCGTCTATGGGGAAAGTTCAAGATAGAAATACATATGATCCTGATCTTCGGAAAGTTTCAACTTGTTTCCCGAATGTTTTGCTCGTGCTGGTGTGAACTTGTCTATCTCATGTTGCCTACTCTTCCGCGGTTCGTGTCTGGCTCGCTCTCGCTTTCTCCTCGCTTTTCGTTTTTCCCCTCTCCTCTTTCATACTCTTCTCGTCTTCTTCTCGTTCTCTTCGTTCTCTTCTCTTCTGCTCCTCGATTCTCTCTCCTCCTCTCTTCACTCTCGTGCCCTCTCTCACACACACACACACAACTACCACGAACAGCATCCGCTCTCCTGCCTCCACACATCTCCGGCCCGGTCACACACTCACAAAGCCCACACAGGCAAGCACACAGCCACACAGGCAACATTGAGAACGTTTCAATAAAAAAAATGCTAAATACAATACGAAATCTAATACAGGTACTACAAAATCTAATGTTTCGTATACTCTCGTTCCAACCTACTTTTATATATTTAATGTCACTTGCACTGTCGTCGGCAATGGCAAGTGCGGTAGTGTGTGTGCATGAGAGTCATTTACACGGAATTTACAGAAACTGTCGCAAATAATAAGGGTAAAGAGAGTATAAGAAACATAGTAAATTTTGTAGTACCATATTAGATTCGTATTATTTAGCATTAAATATTATTAAACGCTTCAAGTGCCTATGCACACACACCCTCTCCTCTCTCTCTCCCATCATCTCGTCTCTCTCTCCTCTCTCATCGTCTCTCTCTCAACCCGCCTCCTCTCGTCTGTCCTCTCGCATCTCTCTCTCTCTCCGCCTCTCTCCTCTCTCTCTCTCTCTCTCTCTCTCTCTCTCTCTCATCCTCTCTCTCCCTCTTCCTCGTTCCTCGTCTCCTCCTCTCTCTATATACTATATATAATATATATATATATATATATATGCCTACAAGCATAAATGACATGCCGAATCTACGGTTTTCTAATATTATAATCTCTATAATAATTAAATTAGTTTACGAGTTGAGCCCGCCATTAATGCGTGCATTTTTAATGCATTCGGTAGCGAACGTTATATATAATATCTAATTAAAATGTTACGATCGCTGCGCGCGTGACTACCAAATATAGAACGGCGACGCGTCCGCAGTTGCAATGTAGCTGTCAACAAGGCTGGATAGTCTAGATGGGACTTTCTCAAATATTCTCGGCGATGCTGCTGCGTACATGATCGGAAATAGGGTCTAGCTGGTTGTCAAAACATCTGGGCGAAGGCAGCTGTTTTGATCAGTATCGCTTTTTGTGACGCTCCCTCCCTGCAGCGTATAAAATTTGCTTACGCGTCTGGGTGCATTGACATCGTTTCTGTAGCGTACGCGTCGATGCGACTTGTGCGGGAGATGTTCTCTGTGATGCTTCTGCTGCTGCATTAGTTATGTCGAGGCAAATTAACGAATGATCCTCTATAATATACAATTGCTGATACGCGATATATATACGTGTTAACTATGGGGGTTAGTGTAAAGATTTCGGTCTTGTTTCATCGCTGTTATTACGTAACCTTTCTCTATATAACATGACTGTATTACCATCGTATATACACATATATAATATATATATATATATATATATATATATATATATATGTATTCGCCTTTTTTTGTTTTAACAGCCCAACCGCGTATTAGGCCTACTGCAATGTCTGTATGGTGCACGTGCAAGAATTCGACATTTTTGTAATAGCTTAGTTCTAAGTGACGGTATCAAACCCAAATACACACTGTGTCGTGTAAAGAGTTGGTGGCGGCCGAATTTCCCGATAGTCGCGTCTGGATGGGTGCGAGTTATTACGTTCCGTGCGCTTTATAGACACTTCAAGAAAAATATAAAATATTAGCATATTATATATATCGTTCCTCCTGAGAAAAATGAAAATACAATGTCGAATGTCTAAATTCGAGTTATACCAAAGATCACCATATAATTACTTAGATTAAATAAACGTGATTTCAACGTCTTTTATTATCGACATTAAAGCTTGGTGTAGATTTAAGAACTTGGTGAAATAACGCGTTTCGTTATCTTTACAATCTATCCATCCGCAGAGAATATATAGGCCTAGCTTTCTCTAGAAATAAGATAATAATAATTATGCTATAATATGTTCTTATATGATAGAAACGAGAGTCGCGCATGCGTGGGCGAGGCTATACTGTAATGCGACGCTGTATAGCGTGAGATATGACTCACTGAAATGACCGCATCGTAATTAACATCCAGGGGAGGAAAGTGGGAGGGGCACACGGAGTCTGAATGACATCCTCCCTGAATGAGCTGCGCCACTTCGCGCATTCTCGTCATGGCGTTCTTTACATGATAACTCTGCTGGTGCATTGAATCACTACGAGAACATCCATGCAGCTGGTCGGTGTATTACTTCGTAGAGATGTGACTCTTCTTGATTAATGGCCGTTGAAAAAAAGAGTTTAGACGCGGAGCAACTATAGCGTTTACTATAGAGATAAATCAATCAAGCGAGCCAGTGATTTTGAATTTGGATTGCATGTGTTTGTCACATGCGGTATATGACACGGTTACGCGCTCGCATGTTATTTGTACGTGTTAAGTGTTAAGTGCAATCATTTGACGCAGTTTGCGGAATTTCGCTCGCTGTCATGGATGATGCGTGCAATCGCGCTAACTAACACCTCGCTCCTAAATATGCAAGCGGGGATGCTGCGAGTCTCTCAGCTGTCATGGGCGTAGCCAGTATGTAGCACTGTCGGCCCGGGCCTACACTTTTTTTGAGTATGTAGCACTGTCGGCCCGGGCCTACACTTTTTTTGGCCAAGTTATCTTTTTTTTTTAAACACCCAAATCAATTCAAATCCATAAGCTTGCTGGACGAGTTTAAGAGTCTATGAAGGAAAAAGCTATTGAATTGAACGTAGCAAAGAATGATGGCTAAACTTAGGGACCTATTCTTCTGGTCATCTAGCTGTCATTTCTATGCGCGTGCCGTTTTCATTCAAGCACTATACACCCGCCGAAAAGACTAGGATCAGTCTTTGTTAGTTTTTTACATCTAGTTAAGAACCCGTTTACGCAGTCCGATAACTATCTTCAGTTTGAGAAACATTCCACAGTCAAATAAGCCTATCGTTTGATTAAGCAGCACTTTATAGAGCTGCAGCCCCTTTGTGCCTGTGTTGTCACGATCGGCGTTCAAGTTCAAACCAGCCTTTCGATACGAGCTCTCTTGGGAATATCACGATGTTTAACATCGGCGGTCATTTCATCATACATTGGCGAGTACTTACGGCGGTAACGCTCATAGGGTTGCGGCCTAGCATTTTCACTATTAATTATCACAACAATTCTCACATTGCATATTTGTGACTTGGTAATCTCAGATGCGTATCATTTCAGCGTTCTGGGCAGAGTGGCAGTGATTCGATCGCATTCCTGGCGTGGCCGAGCCACTCACTTCTAATTCCCTAACAGCAGGGGCGTAGCCAGTATGTAGCACTGGTAGGTCCCTGGGGCCTACAGCTTTTTTGGCCAAGTTAATTTTTTTATTTTTAAACACGCCATAATTCAAATCATAAGCTTGCTGACGAGTTTAAGAGTCCTAGACACGGAAAAACTATGAAATGAAGCGTAGCCAAGAATGATGGCTAAATTATGGTGACCTATTTCTGTTCATGTAGGGCTGTCATTTCTACTCGCGTGCGTTTCATTCAACACTGCTAACCGCGCCGAAAAGACTAGGATCCGATCTTTAGTTTTTTAACTTTTTAACTCGTTGTACACTATTTTAACTCGTTGTTTTTTGGTTTAAAGTGATATTGAATGAGTTGTGCTCTCAAGTATAGCAAGGAGGCCAGGGAACCAGAATGAACACTCTGGAAGCGGCCGTTATCCAAGCGCATCTGGGGGGTTTGTAAAACCTAAAAATTTTTGTGTACGCGTGCCGCGCCAACCATGGTGGCGTCGCGCTCAGTAGTCGTCGTGCCTACAACTTTGAAAACTCTGGCTACGCCCACTGGCTTTATATGAGATGAGGAATTCACATTCTAATCCTATCGCTGCGGTATCATTTCGAAGAAGAGGTTAAACGCGAATGAATGAATGGAATCTCTCCATGCACCCCACCATCCAGATGAGACGGGATACAAGAGAAGTCTTCCTGACAGGAATTGCTGGTCGTAACGCGGCTGAGCGGGGATCTTGCGACGCAGTTCGCGGAAGGCGCAGCAGGCCCGCGGGAACGTCGTACGAAAGTATGGAGCGCTGGCAGCTATGGATGGTAGTAGGATTTACAAAATATTCGCGATTCCTCATCTCCCTCTCTCACGACAATGCGCACGCCCATCCGCCCACAGGAGCGTATAGGACCGGAAGAATAAAATAATTGTAGATAAACACGAAATGTATTTACTACCAAGTTCTCCATGTTTATGTACTCTCTATCGACTAATGATTCCACGTAAATGACGTTTAAATGCTGTTTTACAACAGCCAATCTCACCCGCACGCCCGCAGCTGTGCACACAGTTCGCTATATTCTGTTGTTGTGCACAGCGACGTGCTTGCGGTGAAACTGTGTGTTGCAGAAAAACGTCTGAAAGGCATTCACAGGATATTATTACTAATAATAGGCAAAAAGGAGTAGAGAAACACTATGGTAGTAAAAATATTTCATGTTTATTTATCATCATTTTATTATTGAAACGTTCGAAGTGTCTGTGCATCCGTCTGCATGCACGCACGCAGCAACGCTTGTAACACACACAGCACCCACCACCACACACCACACACACACCACACCGCCAACCACACCACACACAGCAGGCACACATCACAGACCAACACACCACACACGCACACACACAGCACACACACACACTCATCAACAGCAAAGACACACACACAGCACCACACAGCCCGCAGCGCGCGCGCACGCACGCACGCACGCACGTAAACGCACGGGAGCACAGACAGCGCACGGCACGGCACGCACGCACACCCCACACACATACGCACCAGCGACCAACACATAGCACAAGCAGCACAAACAGCCGCACAATACACCCACACCACACCACACAACACACACCACACACACACTACACACACCAACACACATACAACACACACACACACACAACACACACCACACCACACACACACATAAACCACACACACACACACACACACACAGCACCAGCACAACACACACGGCGCGCGGCGAACATTACCACACGCAGCGCACCACGCACGCACGCGACGATACCACGGCCACGCACGCACGCACGCCACAACGCACGACATCCATATAACACACCTGACACGCGCACCCACATCACACAACACAACACGACAACACACACACACACAACACACGCCAACAATACACATACACGGAGAGAGAGAGAGAGAGACGCGCGCGTGCATTCGCATAAACAACCGCCTCTCTCTAATAGCAACAACGATATTCCCGCATTCACCCATGACTCATCCGTCTAGAATTTCACGTCACGTCTAACACGCTACGCTAGCGATAACGTTGACGATACGTATATGGCAGCGACGCCCACAGGCAAGCTCTATATATATATATTATCATGGCGACACAGCACACTTGCAGCGGCGAGTGCGGGAGCGTTCGGCGTTAGTTTTTATGAAGGAAAGTTGATATACAGTGACACAACAGTGGAACTGTAATTGAGAGGTACGGTAGTAGGGCCTATTTGTGAATGTGCGTTCACATTATTTTCAGTTTTTACTGACTGTCCCAAGTGCCTGTGCACCAGGGAGTCTATAATAGGCTATTATAGCCTATTATAGCCTATTATAGATGCCCTGCTGTGCACTTACACTGGTGATCAGTCATGCCTAGCTGCCAGCAAGGTGATGAAGCAGTTATTTTCATCGCATCTGTTGCGTAATATCTACCTGCAGACTGCCGACACCTTTATTAATCAACGCTGCGCAGCACAGTAGACTTTTATCGATTGAAAAGGTTACTAGTCCAAGGGCGCGAGAGCATTATTACAATTATGAATGTCTCAGCTACGAACGTGTCATCCCGTGCTATTGTCACCGTGGATTTTAGCTGATAGTGTGTTCTACTTTTTGTGGATAATGAATCGTATATCGTTCTATTGTAAAGTCCGTGTGCACATTTTTTTGGGTGTTTTTGGTGGATAATCACTCACTTGTTGTGTCATTATAGAATCCTGTGGCGACGCCAACGCGCACACTGCAGCTTCCAGTCTCGCTGAGCTAGCACGTCGTCGAAGAATTTGCCATTTTCACCCCGCAGATATTTGCTCGGGGATGCTAGCTGGCACTTTGCCCGCTACGGTGTCTTCACGCCATCTCCCCTCGCTTAGATACGCTCCTCTCGTTATGGCCAACTAGAATTTGCCCTGAAAGCACCATGGGTGAGCGGACTGAAACTGACTCGCCGCTATGAACGTTTTAAGGGACTTGTCTATAGGGAGCAGGAATGCGGTGCAAGATTGCGGCAAAATGAAGGAACGAACAACTGTGAATGGATATCGTTCGCGCGTGCGCGCGTGTATGTATAGTGTCTTAAGGCAAGCCAGTGGCATGGAAGTGCGTGCGGAAACCTCGTTCGTGCGTGTGCGTGCGTGTGTGTCAACAGCTTGATATGCCGTCAAGGGCAAAGACAGCCATGCGCGGAGCGTGACGCGATAGGAGCAGTGTTACGTATGGTCCCATAAACACGTAGCCGCCCCGCGACAGACGAGACGCAGGAGATACGAGTGTGCTGCCGCCGCCGCGCCAGCATCGCTCCCTCAAAACACAGTCCCGCACCTGACGCATACGCTTGGCTATCTATCCATCATCAACGCTTCCTCGCTATCAGCCGAGCATACACTTGAGACTATCTCATCGGCGTAGGTAGGACAAGCGAGCGGTCGTTAATTTGTGCATTTGATCGACGCGGGTGTTCTAGTGTCTTTGCGTGTAGCACAGTTAAACTGAACTTATATGTACGTGTATAATAGGTGTGCCGGCTTGTAATCATTCATCTTACACGGATGTGTATCGCTGATATCTGACCACGTCAGCTATACGTCGCCGAGGGTGGTCTGAGCGTCCCTCACGGGGGGGGGGGGGCGGTTTGTGCCGTTCGTCGTAACGTTAGTGTGGAATTTGCTATAATGCCAGAGATGGAATCGGCCACTGGCAGCCAGTTCTTAGAGATCGTCCGCTTCGTCAAGCGCAAGGTAAGGATCTCGATTGAAAATTGTGATGTAATCCATTCGTTATGTTGTCGTTGTAAATATGTGTTTGTTTCCCGCGCGTGTGTATAAATATAGTATATATAATACCGCAGGAGTAACCGCCCGCACATGGTGTGCGGCTTCAGCTTTGATGTTTATTGATATCTTCCATTTAAACCCCTGTGTGAAAGTAGTTTAAAAGAAAACATAACTTTCCGCTTACTCGCGCAGAAATAACAGAAACGACGTGCAGGTTTTTTTAAATCGTTTTTTACAGCTCAATTAAAACACACCACTGCGTCTATTAATAACGGCTACAATTAGCTATGTGTTTACGTACATGTATGCATGTATGTGCGCGTGTGTGTGTGCGTGTGTGTGCGTGCATGTATGTGTGCGCGCGTGTATGTACGCGTGCAGCAACAACGTACAATATATGGGTGTCTTTAGCTGGTGGAGAAGTGGATACGTACGGTAGATGCTTTGAAGTCCAGCTGATTTTTTTCACATAGTGGCGGCCACACCATATTCGTTCCGACGCTAATATATAAGCATATGCATGTGTCACCTGACATGGATGCCGCCTGCAGACACGAAAAACTTTTTTGCAGCATTTTTTCCTCAAATGTCACAACCGACCACGTGGTCGCGGGGAAGCGCTCTCACAGTTATGATAAATTCCTTACAATCTTTTCTTGACAGAAATCGTTAGTGTATGAATGAAAATTGGCGCCGCAGGCAACACAGGGTAAGTGGGCGGGTCTGGATGAGTGAGTGATTCGCTGTGCAAGCACCGCGCGGGTATTTCCATCCGGCGTATAGACTATACAACATGTGTGTTAGTCTAAGCCGTCTTACACACCGAGTGTAATTAGCCGCGTAGCTCGGCTTCTATCCGTGCTTTAATGATGCATGTAGTAAGTCTAGCATGCACATCAGCAATAATAAATCAATGAAGTCAGCGGATTTTGGTTATTAGGAGGGATTTGACCATATGCTGCCTGTAATAGCCTTACAAGAGCGCAGCGCACATTACGTGGACAATGAGTCGTGTACAAGCAATCTCTAGTACACGGAGCCGTGTACAAGAGAGGTTGAGTATTGTCTTTTCGTATTGCTTTTTTTTCGGAACAGAACGGGCGTGTAGACAATAAGCGCCCCGCGGCCTATAGGAGAAAACTACGACGACGACGATAATAATAATAGTAATTATAGCGATAATATTAACAATAACAATAATAAAATAGGCTGTAACAACCGTAGTTTTTGAAGAATTAGCATTAAAATTGTTTATTTACTTTAACTTTTAAGTTAACTTTTTTCATTATACACGGTTATACATCTTAATAATAATAATGTGTATATATTATCACGTATCGTTTTAGCAGAAGCGACCAAACGGTGACGTAAGCGGTAACGTAGGCCACGATACAAATAGCACCGACCCGAAGCTGATGCGAGCTCGCATCTTCGTCGGAAACCTGAACACGTTCAAGGTCACCCGTCACGACCTTGAGAATATCTTTCAGCGCTACGGTCCGATCACGGCCATCTCGATGCACAAGGGTTACGCCTTCGTGCAGTTCATGAACGAGCTTCACGCGCGCGCGGCTGCTACCGACGAGCAGGGCAACATCATCGCCGGACAGCCCATGGGTAGGTGCACACGCACGCGCACGCACACGCACACAAGTGCACGCACACAGACTCGCAGACGCACACACACACACACACACACACACGCACACACACACACACACACACACACACACACACACACACACACACACACACACACACACACACACAAGCGCATGCGCACATGCCCTCACACGCACACGCACACACACACACACACACACACACAAATGCATGCGCACATACCAGCACATGCACGCACACGCACACAAGTGCACGAGCACAGACCCGCACACGCACACGCACGCGCACGCACACGTACACAAGTGCACGCGCACAGACCCGCGCACGCACGCGCCCGCGCATACGCTCACGCACACAGTTGTCTACGTTGCCAGTGATTTGCACTCGCGAGAAGATATATATTAAAGATAGTGCATCTTTGATAGCACCACTAACAAGTCTGTCGGGGACATAAAACATAATATAATATATATTATAAACGTAGTATAACATAAACCGTATGCGTTGTTACTTGCTCAACGTTTTTTGTTTTCTACGTAAAATACTGCGATTCCGTCTAAACAGTCAATGGCGTTGCTAGCTCTAGAACTATAGCCATTCGCTCTGCCACACGCAGATCGAAGGGCTATAGTTCTAGAGTTATGGCGCAGCATGCTAGTTTGTACGTGTCAACGAGGAGACCCTCATTGATTGCTCATTATGTGAGTATTACATGCTTCTGTGATTATATTATCATAGAAGGGGTACACGTGGATCATGTCATAGTGCCAGTATATGCGTGTATACGCATAAATATACACACGTTTATACGCGTGTTTAGTCAATAGCTCACAAAATAGCGTACATTACAAAGCCATTAATCGGTGTTATTACGTATTTATAACTATTCGTAGCGTCACATTGGCTTCGAAATTCTGACGAAAACTTAACACCTCCTTTATTTCATATACACTACGATTCTATTTCCATAATATTTTTTTTTTCATTCTAGCGTAACTATAATTGGCGGGTACACTTGAAAGTATGTGGTTTGTTTATTTTACGAAGTGCCAAACATATGAGTATCTCTTTCCCAAGTAGCATAATATGTTATGTATACATACATACATACATACTTACATACGTACGTACGTACGTGCGTGCACGCGCGCACACACGCATACACACACACACACACACGCACGCACGCACGCACGCACGCACGCACGCACGCACACACACACACACACACACACACACACACACATATATATATATATATATATATATATATATATATCAAGGAGGCGTATAATTATATATCAGGAGCGTAAATAAGACAAAGGAGTAAGACACCGATTTGGTACTGATTTCTCTACTTTTTGTCGTACGAGTTCGATGTGAATAAAAATACAAATGTATTACAAACATGGCTTCTTTTGTTCACTGGTCTTTATTCCATCTTCCGGTAGTATTACAAACCGCGTAGCTTCCTTCGTTTTGACATAATTCGTACTTTTTCACGACATGGTTTTCACATTAGTTACCGTATTCTGTCGAGGCCACCCTCTAACTGCAACACACAGCTACTTCAATGAGGCGCGCCAGGGCTTTTCGGCCGTAGCCTAGTCGAGTGCAGAAATTCGCCTAGAAATTAGTTACGTTGCACGCCATGCTGCGTTTTAAAAATTAAAACGATTTTACATTTAAACTATAGTTAGACTGCCTTTTTTATGTTGAATCCCGCAATTTTTTTTTAAATAAAGCTGCGCTGGTAAAATATCTGAACTACTTCACCCGCGTAGGAATGATGTGTATGAATCGTTATGAGGTAAACTGACGCTCCAGCCGATTGTAGCTTTTCGCACATGTGTTTTGCATTAATTGCATAGCAACCGTTAGCTCTAGCCCGCGTACAGTTGCCGCTGGCGCTGCCTGAGGCGATCCCTGCCGTGCCTCATTCAAGAGCTGTGTGTACGAATTTAGAGGGTGGCCTCGCCAGAATACGGTAACTAAGAATACGGTTTCGTATACGGTTTCGTATACGGTTCGTAACGATACGTTTTCGTACGGTAACTAAGAATACGGTTTCGTAACAAAGAATACGGTATTTGTCATTATACGCTCCTGATATATATATATATATATATATATATATATAGATAGATAGATAGATAGATAATAATAAGATAGATAGATAGATAGGTAGATAGATAGATAGATAGATATAGATAGATAGATAGATAGATAGATAGATAGATAGATAGATAGATAAATAGATAGATAGATAGATATATAGATAGATAGATAGAAAGATAAATAGATAGATCGATATAGCGAGTAAGAGAGAGAAAAAATAAGAGAGAAAGAAGAGAGAGCTAAGAGAGAGAGAGAGCGCGCGCGAAAGAGAGAGAACGAAAGAGACTCAAAGGCCTGTCTGAGTTCACCATCTACAATGAGACTTGCATGCACGTTCGTATATAGCTTCTTGATAATTCTTATGAACTTTGGAGGGCAGCCCAGCTTACTCAAGATGATAAAGAGTAGCTCACGATTGACGGTGTCAAACGCTTTAGTGAAGTCCACAAAAGCTATATACAAACTTCTGCGCTGTTCTCTCGTTTTATCCATTACTTGTCGAAGGGTGAAGATTCCATCCACAGTACTTCTGCCCCTGCGGTACCATGACTGAAATTGTGGGTATATCTTTTCTGCAAGGTGATGTCGTCTCTGCAAGATGACGTCTGCTAGGACTTTGTCCAACTACGCTTAGAAGTGATATACCCCTATAATTGCCGTACTGACTTCTGTCACCTTTCTTGAACAGGATGGTGATGTTAAGATCAATCAAGTCAGAGGGAATCTCCTCTGTTGTCTAGAAGATGTGAAAGAGTACAAGTAGGAAAGCTCTCAAACGAGCGCCGCCATGCACAAGAACTTCAGAGAGTATTCCATCAGGACCCGGACTTTTTCCTAATGTGGTGTTCTTGAGAGATTTACCTAGCTCTTCTTCTGAGATTGAATCATCGAAGGACGCAATAATTGAATGTTCCTCTATGTCATCCAAGATGCTTAAATCAACATCAATTGGTTGATTCAGAAGATCACTGAAATGCTTTACCCATCTGTCCTTGATGCTATCTGGTGAAGTCAGGAGCTCGCCATCTTTTGATCTAACAGGATGGGAGCTTTTAGTTCTTGGACCGTAGACAGCATTGAGAGTGGCATAAAATTCTTTATGGTTATTTTTCTATGAGAAAAACTCTGCTTCTTCAGCTTTTCGCTGGAACCAGTCATTCTTTCGCTTTCTGATACGCTCTCTAAGAGCATTCATGTTCAGTTTCTTGTTTTGAAGTAGCTCTCTGATTTCTTCATCCTGCTCGTCAAACCAGTCATTCTGTTTCTTTTCCTTCTTTCCAAATACGTTTTTGGCTGCATTTTGAAGCACTTCTCTGAGATCTTCCCAATGTTCTTTGCAATCAGACAATTTTTCATTCAAGAACTGTTCCAGCATTTCTTTTCTTTCATTGTTGAGGCCAGTGTCAAGCTTTTTGGGAGGCTTTGTGCCCTTCTTCTTTGGTTTTATGGAGAAATGACAGTTACAAACAATCAACTTGTGATCAGTGAAGCAGTCTGCTGCTTGATTGACGTTGGTCACTGTAACATGCCAGTATAAACATAACTCAGAGTGAAAGATAACACACATAGTTTATTCGTCCACTTCTTATTCCGCCATCTTCCAACTACCACGATCACACCACGTGACCCTTCACACGTACAAGGCGGGAACACATAGAACAAGACTACGCGGTGTGATACATCTTTTCTCCTATATGAAATAACTCAAAACTCTCAACACTGTGCACGTGGAACCTTGTATACAGCGTACCTATACAACACAGTTGTTTACAACACAGTCAACTAACAAATGTCAATTAAGTGACAAC